AAACAGCTATTACACAGCATGAATTTGTTCATTAAAAATGTGTCACCAAGATGTTCTTCAGTATATATATTGCATGTAAACAATAATTAATTTCACTAAAAGGAATAGTGTCACAATTATTTGCATAACTATCCGAGGTACACTTTCAAGGTAGAAATTAAGAAGTGTGTATTATGGAAGTCTTTTTTAAAAAATTTACAGGAATCAGTTGTATATTTTTCCTTTTCAGCAATGAAGTTCCATATGGGTTATAATGCTTATTATACTTTTAAAACAACTTGGGCATATCTAGCGTCAGTGACACAGTGGTAGAATGCTCACCGACCACGCATGCGGTCCGGGGTCCGGTCCCCGGCCGACTCACCCATTTACTTCGTTAAGTGAGTAATAAGACTGGTAAAGAGAGAAGGTTGGGCATGAGGCTAGCAACTTCGTCCTGTAAAAATAAACACTACTGGTACCGAAACTTCAAGCTTTTAGCATGAAGCCCTATGTTCCACTAGGAAGGTAAAGGAATTAAAAAAAGTACAATCAATTAGAAAAAAAGGACAAACGAGGGAATAGAGAGAAAGAAAAATTAAGAGATAAGTTTACAGTACTGACTGATTGAAAACACGCGATAAAATGTTCAACGCCCTAGAGTTTTGCTTCTTGACGATTAATAATACATAACCTTGAAGAGAATATCTCTTTTTCTTGAAAAAACAACTTACAGCTTATATTGTTTATAAAATGTAAACTTTAGAAATTTTTGTGTTTTAATGCACTAATTATTACTTTCAATTAACGTGAACAGTTTTCGTTTGGACTAATTAGAGAAAGTTTTCTAAAAGTTGAGGCATGTATGCGTGTGTGTGTGGTTGTAAAAGAAGAACTTTAAAAGCAGTTTCATAGCATATCAGTATATATGGCGCATTTCTATCAAATCATGGTCTTACTTGATAATTAGTAGAAAATATTTCTTTGGAGAGTATGGTGTGATTTCAAAATGTACACGATCTATTCGACAGACGTTTAAAGATATGTGAGACGACAAAGTTATCCACTGCACCGACAATTGAATACATTTATCCAGCATATCTTTAGCCTATGAATACCTGACATAACAAGCAGTTTTGCTGAGTGGAATGGTCTTCCCTTTTCCAAATAACATAATACCAACATCTTCTTTCCTAATGTGAACACCACAATAACTTTGTCGGTAGTTCAGGGGTAGAATGCCCGCCAGCCACTAATATGGTCAAGTTTCGATTCATGACCAACACATTTCTAACCCGTAGCAAACTAGGCAAAAAGGAAAGTTGGGGCTCAAGGCTAGAAAACTCATGCCGTAAAAAATGAAACCACTGCTACTGAAACTTCAAAACTAGGAGCTCTATGTTCCACGGAGAAATTAAAGGAATGAAAAAAACAACACAATAAAATTATTAATATTTAATATCTAAAAGTAACAGAAACATTATTGGAATTGCTTCTAAATAAGTCAGTTATAATGCTGATATTTTCTCTTATTCCATATTATACGATTATTTTGTTCTAATTTTATTCTTATTGTGGGCTGTTTCGCATCTAAGAACATGCCAAACTTGATTATGAGAAACTTACTGTATTTGCTACAATACAATAGTTAGTCAGCGGGGTAATGTGATGTGAACTGTAAACTAATTTGGTTTACTAGGTTATCGAATACTATGTACGCAAATCTAAAGTACCTGCATGATGCACACCGAATTTATTTAGCAACACAGCGATTGCATCGCTTCTGAGACACATACGGTATACGCCTAGTAATCGCCGGATACCAACAATACCGTATGGTCGAATTGGAAGAGAAACCTTGTAGGAATTAGGGGACAGAGACTGACACTTTTCCAAAAGCGTATGCTCCCTGTTAGATTATTAAAATCTGATTGATTCTGTGTCTTGGTGAACTACTGGTATGCTATTTCTCAGAGTTTCAGCATCCCTTAAAATCATCGGCCAATACACTCTGCATGCCTATACAAACATACGTACACCTTCTACCAGCATATCCATCAATTAGAGAAAAAAAATGTAGACTGATTATAAAATTAATAAACATGCACACATCGACCATTTGACCTGAAATAATACTAAAAATGGTCTTTGTAGCTCTGTACAAAAAATATATACAAATATACACATTGTTTTTAAAAAAAGTAACAGTGAACATTCCATTTTAGCAATACACAAGGTACCCACGAAGGACACCATATGAATTTGTATATTTCATAACAAAGATAGTGAGTTATTGATTATCTGAGATAGTTTTAACATGCGGTTTTCATTTTCATCTGCAAATTAGCTAACACACTCAATGACTATTCAGCTACTGCTTCAAAGAGTCATTAATGAAACGGTTTAACAAAGATCTGTTGACTAGCTAATAACTAAAGGACACTAGTTTCAATGAGGTGTTTTGCGGAAATTAATTAACTTCTGCTAATAAAACTTAGCTGAGTGAATCAAGAAAAATGCCTTAATCTTCACTAATTGTCAAAGCCGTTTAATCATAGACCATTTTGAAAGTGTTCTGCTAATTGTTTTGATTATACGATGGAAAGCATTCTAAATGGAATCACGAAATAACACTATTCAGGGAACCATTGAAAATCAGAGGGTACTGGACAGGTATTTTGTGATGAAATCTAATTTGATATCAGTCAAACCCCCAGAAGTCAATGCTTGAAAATTATTCTACTGCTCATTAGTATTCTACTACACGATGGAGCCCTTGCAGTTATAGTGAGAAGTGGTCGTCAGTGGAGTTTACCATATCTACTGTGAGGGTAGGTACTTGACGATGATATTTGATGACCTTCGCGCTATACTTAGCAAATTACCAGAACTTACAGTTCATGTGCCACTACATCTCGTCCCAGTGGTTGAATTGCCAGTGAACTCTCTTGGTAACCTGGAGGTCCTGGTTACGATCCTCGGTTGAGTCATGGATGCATATTGCTGCAGAGTCTCAAACTAGGACGAAACAACTATTTAGTACACCAGGATTTTCAATGCTTCTCTAACTAACGTTACTTTATGATTTAACCTGATATCAGCCAAATTCATGCGCAGCAGCACTTGCAAAACGTTTTACTTAACGTAAAATCATAAAAGCCATCAATATTCTGCCTTAATCCCGTTTCCATTACTCTATAAAAGGTAAAGTATTTGTATTGTGGATAGAAAGTTTCACTTGACTGGATATGTAAATGTGTATTTAAGTCAGTTACACACATGAAGACCAAATATATTTAACCTTAGCATATCGTAGATATTAAATAGAGCATCTGTTTGGGTGGATGCATTTGCGAAGTGCATCTACCCATATATATGTATGGTATTTGGGTAAGTGTAAATCTATGTATGTGTGTGCAGATGTGTTAGATCTGTTTAGGTTAGATAAACCGAATTATTTATTTTACGGCATTATATTTTCCACAACTTTATGCAACCCATAAGGTGTAGAAGAAAGAGTTATTCAAAGTTTAAGATGCGAAAGGCTGACACCAAAATGGTTTGTTCATATTGCAAAGGACACTATTACTAGAAGACATTTATGCAAATATATAGCCTAAACATTGCTAAAGAAGTATTCGCTAAAACACAAACTGTTACTAATAATTATGGATGGATGTTTTTAATGTGGTGGAGATTCTCTGATCTGGTTGGTATAACTTCAAAGCTTTCATTACTCACGTAGGCAACATTTACAACGCTTAATCTAGTGTGAAGTGAGCCTTTAGAAGCAATGACTCAACTGCCTTCACTGGTGACCTTGACTGTGATTGGTTATCATAAAAAGTTTTCTCATTCTTGTATCATTCTGTACTGGCACCGATAGTTCTGTTGACCTGGCATTTGTTCTCTATTGACTAATAACGTTTGATTTATGTTAACATGTCTGTTAAATGAAGATTGATGTGAGTACTACGCTTCTGTAAATTTTCACATTTTCTCAGTCAAATTGATGTCTGAAGTTGTCTACATGGATTGATATGAAGGTATATGTGTCATACTTTTTTGACATGCATTCATGTTCTTGAATTCAAAGTTGAAAGGGACATTGTAGTGTTTTTCATAATTGATGCAATTTCTAATTTAGATGGTTTAGTGGTGTCTTCTTGTGCTGTTGGGTTTCTTGGTCTAGATCGTATTAAAAGCGGTGACCATGCTGGTCTGTTTGCAATATCTATTCCGAATAGTTTCAGTGTTCTAACAGTTATTTCAGAAATTTTTCTTCATATATAATAGAATGAGTTTTCATTGTGGTTTCTGAGGATGGTGTCTTGGCATGGCAGTTAAACCACTCAGCCAGGTTAACACAGTCCCACAACAAAAGCTATCACCAAATTAGATTTAAATAAGAAGTATATTCTCAGGTAACTTTTTCCACTTTATAAAGAATCTCTGTCACCATCAATCCGAAAAACTGAACGAAAGGGCCTATTGTTACTGACCAAGAATATTATCATTCGGATAAATTTCTTCGTATTATTTCAAAGGTACTACCGTACATTAGGTTTGTTGCCAGTTAAATACTCTGGAAGTTGCGACTTTTGTGGACATAGAGTCCTTTGCTAAAGAAAAGCCTTCATTACAATGACTTAGATATACAAATCACATCAGTATAGTTATCAGAATACAAAAAATAATATAGAAAGTTCAGCAAAAACTATTAGTTTTTAAATTAGTTCAAAACTATTTAATATGACAAGAAAAATATGAAATGATGTGTGCCACAGCATAATTTATTATATGAGAATAATAGGAAACAAGAGGGAATAGTGAGAAAACAGGTATGAATATAAGATTGCCTAGTCTTCCATGCGGCTAAATGAACAGATTTGCCACACCGAGATCTTTTGAGTACATTGAAGGTACTCAGTGAGTATCTGAAGTGGACCACAAGGCTCACTGAAGTCAGAATTAAATGTTAACATGGGGATGATTTTAGGTACATTGAAAAGTTTACTTACCTGTACTGAATGCATAACTCCATGGTTCATAAATAGACTGAACGAATGCTTGATTTCGGAAGATCATTCTCAACCAAGAAACTAATTGATGCTCACTAAAAATTAAGATATCATGAGAGAATACAGTAGGTACTTTATTGATGCTGTCTTTAATAAACTGTGGAGAAACATGCTTAATTACGATGAACAACTGAAATAACAGTCTACCAATCAAATGTCAGCTTCATCCTTATTAGATATGACTAACACTTAGACTTTAACTTAACTCTTCTGTAAACGCCCAAAGTCTAGGGCTGACTACTAGATGTGTTTGTTAGCCTATTCCTTCTTTATATATAAGTAAAAACATGACTCAGGTTAAACATTTTGCTTCACAACTTAATACTGTTTAGTATCAAATACTGTTGCATTATAAATATAATATTATCTTGTTACTTCAGAAACAAATTAGGTTTTAATACCAGTTGCCTGTATCTTTTAGCTACAACTGAGCTCACACTGTGTGTCATTGATATCAACTGTGAGGATTTAAACACTGGTAGGCAAATACAAAAGCTAAGCCTATAATACATCTTAGCCTAGAGTAAGAAGAAATTGAAAAGAACAGCATTTTGTAAATTTCCTTTTTCTTTGCAGAAGGCATGATTTGTTGACATTCATTCACTGAATATCCTAGCAGATCCTAGTATAACTTAAAGTTTAGTCATTGTCAAGTAGAATAATTCTAAATACTAGAAACAAAGAAAATCATTATGAAGTCATGATGACTACAGAATTTCACAGCTGCAGTGAACCATTCGATTTCATCGCATATCGGCGTGACTGCAATTAAGATTGATAAAGTTCATCTCCTCGATCAAGTAACATCATTCCTTTTTCAACTTACCATGAACAAAAGTCATCTAACTGTTTTAATTACAATTTCATCTTTCAATAGTTTTCTAACTAATGTAAATTCCTGATTTAATTAAAATCAATCGAATCCCTGAGAAGAGACACCTAAAAAGTAATCTAATGTTCACTAGTGATAGACTCCAAGATCAAGTTGTCTGGATTTCGAGTGAGAAGTCGTGGCTAATGAAGTTCATCAAATCTCCTATGAGGAGAGATACTCGCCGATAGCACTGACTGGCTGATCGCAGTATGTCGGTCACTAGCGGAAGTTGGAATTAGTGGGTCACTGGATTCCGTCCGAGTGAGTAAATGGCAAACGGGTTCGCCTCGTGATCTGAAGATTCTTGTTTTTATCGTTTGTGGGGTGACAGGCGCGTATTGCTGAAGAGTCCCAAATAAGAATGAAACGTATGTTCAGTACTCCGTAGTTTCTTGTGCTCTTCCAAATGAAGGCAGTTTGTGATTTGACTTGAAATCAATCGAATTTCAACATTAAAAGTGTTTTGGAATACATTGTAGATTCTGTCGAATAACATGAACCTTGATGTTAGCTGTACTTTGAAACGCAGTGAGTTCTCTTCTATTCTCTACTTAATTAGACATTACTTGGATATTTTATATTCCTTTTCTAGGGCTTTCATTATCAACGAAAATCTGTGATATGACGACTAAAAAGTGGATATTATTTTCTAAATCACGCTTAAATTGGTTCAGTGAATAATTTCATCGCAAAGAGATGGAATTGTTGTAAGTCTATCCAAACTTTATGTTTAGTTAAGAGAAAACACACATACATACAATCATTCACTTTTGATGCAACTATTAGACCAGACTTTTTTCGAATAGTGCCAACAAGCATGTAATGAATAAATATGGGGATCTCTGGTTTCAGTTTAGGATTCTTCAAGACCACATACGGACAATGTCATGAAGTATAGAAACTAGAAATATCAGATAATGTTGAATAAAGTTCAGTCCACTAGTGGAATATTTAAAAACTGGTTGCTTTGTAACCTGACAGTGCTAGACTCTAGTCCTCGTAGTATAAAGTGGTTATGGACTGCTAGAGAGTCCAAAATTAGAATAAAGTAGTCTTGTAAACTTCTCTTATTTTACTGGCTCTTCCGACTGATGGCGGAATCTACCTGACAAGTACGTGGAATTCCCACAAAACTAACAACTTGGTTTCACAGTAGTTTGAACATAAACCGTTGAACTCACATGCTTTTTCAAATTCATAGAATAAATAAAATCATTTTAAATACAGAATTTTAAAATATATAATGCTTACTTGAGCGCTATACTAATAAATGCTTTGAACTTTGCATCTTTACTACGTTTGTAAGCCATATGACTTTGTAGCACAGTACCCATTGCACTGAAAAACCGCTAAAATAATACAAACGAAAAAAACCGATTTTTCATTATACCATTTATTCCCTGTTCCCAAAATGTTATACAAATAACCCATAAATACGAGTCAGAATAAACAAAACAAGCGTCAGTGATAATCTTTACTAATAATGAATACGAATAAATTAAAGTTGTAAGGCTGGGGTGTTGTGATAGTATGTTATGCGTAATCATACTTATCTGCTTGATATGAAGACTATGCGATTAATGTTGTGTTTACTGGACAGTGTTTGAAGCCCAGGTTACAGTTTTTTCATAATTGTTCTTATTTTGACCATTTTTCCGAAACTCAACTGAATTTCTAAGATGGAATTTTACACAAAAGTTCAAAAGTCCAAATTATCTCACTTTATAAAAGCACATATAAAGGTAGACAAGAGAGAAATGCAAAGATCACAATGAGTTAAGGCATCTGCGTCACTGACACTATCCAGTTATCTCGAGTATTGCAGGCAGGCAGTCTATAACTCCTGGGGTGGTTGGCTTAAACCAACAGCCAAAGATTTCATCAATTAATGTCATACTTTGATATGATCCCCAATAACTCGTCTCCAACTTAATCCAGTTTCAGCGGATACTACTCAACAAAGAAGACAATGGTTCGGTATACATAACTCTTCGTGACAAAGCAATGTTTACTGGATGGCATTTGAAGCATAGTTTTATTTTTTGTTCAGGATCGCTGCTGTTTTGAGTATTACACTACTATTTTAAATTGGAATATTAAAACTGACTGGCATACACACTGATTGAAATTTATTTTTACTGAATGCTCATAAATAATTTAGAGATTGATTAGGATGAATTCGTAGTCTCTGCATATGAATCCAGTTGCCTCCTTGTTATTATCCATTCTGCATAGTCCTTATTTGTAATTTCTCTCTGTTCTGTTTAGAATACACCTTGTCGACAAAATATACATTAATTATTCGCATATATATATTACATGAATATTGATGTGCGCCATATGAATTGATGAAAATGAATAATGAGTCATCAGTATCATAATGCTGAATATAACACTGATTACATTATTATCAGTATCATAATGAATCCATATGGCGTCTGTACACATACATATTTGTATGTATTATACAAAACACCTGTTCTGATATTTTCATCATTTTCCATATTAGTTAAATGTTACATACCAGTCACTGATCAATAGGAGAAACTTGGGTTAAATAGGCAATTATAATACAAGATATTTATTTTCAACAATTTATTGAATTTCACTGCAAACTTCCTCACAAACTAACACCAGTTTGAAACGATTGGAAACAAGAATCACTGGACAGCTATCTCATCCTAGTTTAAGGCACTTTAGCAGTGTGCACCTACGTCCCATCAGTGATCGAACAGGCGACCTTCAGGTAGTGAGACCAAACTCTTTGACCAGCCAGCCACTTGAGTCGGAATTCAATGACCTGCTAAGTCTAACTTCTGTCGATTCCTGATCTAGCAATAAGTCAGTGAATTTCAGCACAGGTGGCTGAATAGTTAACGAAATTGACCTGAAGGTCCTAGGCACGATTCCGGGTAGAATCGTGGATGAGCACTGATTAATTGTTTGAAGCTTGGATGAAACAGCCGTACAGTGCCTTCTAGTTTTCAATTATCTGTAAATGATGTTGGTTCATGTAGTGAGCAAATCAAAGCTTATGGGCAGTCCTGAAACCAGCTAGGTAACACTGTTGAGGATAGAGTCAAATTAAGATGTGCTGCCGAAGCCCTATGTTCCACTGTCCATATGGACAACATCTATTTAGCACTAACTACATTGTGAGCTGAGCTTTAGAGATTCTCCATGGATGGAATATCTTGCTGCTGGTGACGTTTACCGTGATTGGTTATTCCCGTCTATTTTCGTTTCATTGTATCCACATATGTTGATATCAATCCTCCTGTTGACTTGCTATTTGACCTTTTCGTTATGTGACCCATTTTATTTACCGATCGATAAGTTTAACCTACACCCACATGTATATCAATAGCGAATAGATATGAAAACCAAACATCTAGGAATTCTCTGGTGTCTCAAATTTCCACACCATCCCAATTGAAATGATGTCCATAGTTGTCCGGGTGATCTGATAATAAGGAATGCCTGTTACTGTCTTTTGATTGTCCGAAGAGACACATATTTCACCCAAGGGGAATTCAAGAACTTGAATTCATATTTAAGTTAGCCCTGAACATGCTTTCGAGAAGGACAATAAAAGCCTCTGAACAACTAAACTATCCATCTAAGAGAATATAAAACACATGAACAAGAAATCTTCTCCATTAGAGTTTTCAGTATTAATCCTGAATTCTGCCAGTCAAACACAGAATAGCGAGTAGTTGAGCAACGTATATATATATATACGCGTTGCTAATATATATACATATTGATAATTCACTGTAAGCCCCAATAAACATCTCTATTATTATCTCTACAGATACGTTGGTTAAGATATTTCTTAAACACAACAGTTACACATTTAAACTCAGTATAAAACTGTTATGTCGGCGTTTTCACGCGACTCTTTTTTTCGATCAAGCATAGAATCATCTCACTTTCATACCAATGACTAACACGTGTTTGTGACCATTCATATCATTCTTTTGAAAAGATTATATATATATATATATATATATATATATATATATATATATATACAATAACCGTATTTAACACCAATTATTTGAATAAACCATCTTCTGAGTCGTTGTCATCGTTGCTAAAACTCATTTAAAATGCCATTTATTTCAAAGCGTATGACATGTACAGACCTAATTTCCTACATATAATTTTTACATGTCTGTTTGTATTTTTCTCACCGCACTTATTGATTTATGACCAAATTTTCTCTCACCCTACTTATTACCCTTGAAATCCCATTGGTTGTTCACTGTCTAAACTTATCAATGACATTAGCGCTTCTCAAGGTTATTTTGAACATAATATATACTCAGGCTCTCTTACCAACGTTCAGTCTTCCCTTCTGTCTTTGCCTCCCGGTGGTATTATCATTGTTGTTGTTATTACTGCCGTGCGATTAGGAAAGATTAGCCAGCTCATTAAAATTAGTATTCGCTCATAGTTTACTAGGTCGCTAGTTCCCTTCATAACAGTATCAAGAGCTTCTTATGACTATATTTCTGCTACTGACTATCGAAAGTGCACTGTGTCTATCAATCACAATTTTTGGTCGTCTGAATCAATCAGCCTGAATTAGCGTGCTTATTGCCATTCACAAAGTCATCAGTGTTGGCAGGTGATTTATGATCAGATCATCAAGACACGAGAGATGCGTTAAAGTTCCAGTTGGGACAACAACGCTGACATAAAGACAACCTTCACCACATGACTTTTGAGCCTACACACACAAAAATGCATCACCTAGTACTGGACGAAAAACTCGTACGTACAAAAGCTGATGTAACAATATTTACTTCAATCTGTAACAGCAGACGGCAGGACACGGAAGCCAGGTGATTATACCACTGCTGATGTTTATATAGTTTATATTCTTTAATTAATCACTGAGTGTGTCATTTTGGGCTACATTAAATGACATGAAATAGAATGTTCAAATATACATAGTGTTCTGTTGTTACTGCACTATTGAATGCGAGAATAATATTCCGTTGGAACCCGTTGTCTGTATCATAGCACCATTGCTATGCGAGTGGAACACAGGGCTTCAAGCTTGAGCTTTTCATTAACAATGGTGTTCTGTTTTTGTGAGGTGACGTAGCTAGCCTCATGCTTAACCACACCTCTTTACTAGGCTTATTAGCGGCTAAGTGAAGTATAGGAGTACATCGGCCGGAAACTAAACCTGGACCATGTACACGGTTGACGAGCGTTTCGCCAATGAAACACCGCCTCCTGATGGAACAATATGATACCAATAAAGGGTATTTACAAAAACGATCATCTATCTTGTACATTGTGAATTCACTTATACTTTATTTTGTCATTTTATTACATTCAGTATGCTAGAGAGAAAAGTAGTTAAATAATTCATTCAGCAACTTACCTGACGATCTGTGATTTTCTTATTACCAACAGCGTGTAAATCAAAACTTTCGCACAGCTTCCTTGCCGGGGAATCATTATACCTTGGACCATTCTGAATTTGTAATGCAAAGGAAATAAAAAAATCTCCTTTTATTCATTTGTATTTTAATTGTGTACAAAGCGAATTACGCTAAAAGACATTTTTATTTACTGTTCTAAATAAGTAGACAAAAAGGTGACAAATGTCATTGTGTAACATATTTAGTAGAACATTTACTGAAATTACTGTCTTCAATTTACCACTGACTAGTTTTTATTGGACTGAAATGTTCAGTCTCTGTGAACGTGTCGGCGCATAGTACGGACGCTTTTGACACGTGCCTTGGGATTAAAAAGTGATTAACATGGGGTCGACAGAGACTAAACATATTTAGTTCTAATAGAATCAATCGACAGGGATTACGGAATAATAATTTCAACAAATGTCTATTATGCATTTAACAGGAAGGGGTTCCTGCACCTCAGTGGATACTGTCTCGCATTTGAAACGATGGATGCAGACATATCCAGATGACATGTCTAAAACAAGACATGACTCACGTTCTGGATTCTGCTAGTACCACTCACCAGCTGTATAACACTTAGTAGATCATACTGTAATCAGGATGTAAACTATTCAGGGAAATTTCTAATTTCAGCAAACTAGTAAGATGATGATAAATGACATTTGTGATTTAGTCAAAACGTATAGGTTAATGTGGGTTTTAGGAAAATACACTCTAAATATACACACTGTAATTAAAAAGGCTGAGATAAGAATAAACTCTGAATTTAGCGTGGACATATATTACTGACTTATGTGAAAAGTTGGAAACCAATCACAGCGTTAACCAGATAGAAATGATCGAAACAACGGACAGTCGTTTCTCTCGCTTGGGGCCAAGCTTATCAGTAGTGTACCAGGTTCCAGCTCAGCTCAGAAAACCGAATCAGTTCAGCTCACTCTAATTTCAACAAAAAATAAGGGTTAGATTCACCTGAATAAACAATAACATCGTTAATCTACAGTTAAATGTTATTTTTTATGTCGCAGCATATGTGTAAAAGTGCTCCACGTTCAAATTCAGTTACTCTTTGAACTCAACATTCCCTTTTTTATATTTCTAATCACACACCAACTGATACATCATTTGTAGCATGTAATAAAATGAAAGGATGAAAATATGTTTCACTACATGTCCATCTATTAAATCAAACAATGAAAATATTAAAATACAATAGGAAGAAATTTTTCATAAAGTAATCAGTTACTAATAGTAGTATAATGTGATAAAGACAAATAAACGCAGTAGTATCATACTTTTGGAGAATAATAAGGTACTCTGTGGATGTGTGTATACACCCAATTAATCCTGGCAAAAATTCAGTTGTATTCCAGGATCCCTCAAATATGCTTTCCGAGATACTTTTTCTGCTGATAACACTGTGGTGAACAGTGCTATACAAACTCATTTTCCAGTTATCTGCACAATTTCCAGGTGAAACAAGCTTAATGAAAAGAAACACCTTCTTTCAATTTAAACTTCAATCCATATTTTCTTGATTACACTTAATCCCCATAAAATACAACGAGGACTAAGTAGTTTGAAGCATACTAACTAAATGACAAAGTTCCAGTCATCTTGTTTGGTGCATATTTACCATTAAGATTAACATATTTGGAGATGATACAAACAATGCAAACAGACATCTTGACACTTAGATTACAGTGGCGTCGCTCTCAATTTTTTAATGTCGTACATATAAATTCTACTCATCATGAGAAGGATGGATGGATTTTTCTGGTTAATAGATGATTTGACCTCGTTATTTGTTCACTTTGCTCGATTTTAAACAGTTGGATATCCTATAAAAAGACCCTTAATTAACCTGTAGCAAGGATCGAAAGCAAGACAAGCTTTCATTACTCTCAAGTTGTGTGGAGGACAAATCATTCAGCGTCAAAAAGATCGGATTTTCACTCAATGTGAAGTCAGTACTACTATACGGATCAGAGACTTGGCGTGTCACAAAGAGCACCTCAAACAAGCTACAGACCTTCATTAACAGATGTCTTCGCTCAATACTCAAGATCAGATGGCCGGAAAGGATCAGCAACAAAGATCTCTGGGAGCGAACCAACCAGGAACCCATTGTGAAACAAATAGGCAGGAAAAAATGGAGATGGATTGGCCACACTCTGAGGAAACCAGCAAGTGACATCACTAGACAAGCCCTCGAGTGGAACCCGAAAGGGAAGCGGCGAGTTGGTCGTCCAAGGGTGACCTGGAGGAGATCATGTGAAGAGGAGATGAAAGCATGTGGGCAGACCTGGAGCCAGGTGAAAACTCTAGCAGAGAATCGAACGCAATGGAGACGCATGGCTGAAGCCCTATGTTCCTCTAGGAACTAAAGGAAATAATAATAATAATTAACCTGTACCCAGTCTGTAGGAAGTTTCAACTAATACATTAGCAAATAAAAAATCACTTTAGTGTCTTATCAAGTGGATATAAAGTAAATTTTAGCACTACACTATGATGAATGAATAAATCTATGAACTGATACATTGGAACAGAACAGCCGACACAATCATAAGCAGTTACTGTTCATATATGCTACAAAAATGCATCTGCAATATACGATTATTTGACAATGTCAGATATATAAAAACGAAAACCATAAGACATAATAAAAGTTATACAGCCTTATATCAAAGAATGTAAGTAAAAGTTAGCAAAGAGGAAGATAGTGAGTTAAAACAATGGTAATATATCAGAAATTACTGGTATAGTTGTATTCCCTGACGGGCTAGATGGTTTAATAGCTCAAAGAATACAACTACATCAGTATTATTCACCTGAGTTACAAATATACATAATCATTTCTGTATCAGATAGTGTAAACAACTTTTTAAGAAGAAGTAGTGGTAAGGAAAGGATGAAAGTGTTATTTACATTTTTCATAAACAATTCCAGTTACCTCATTAACCCGGTCGAAAGGCTGTAATTTCCATGCCAAACCTAATTCAAAACTGAGCATTTCTAAGATTGATTCAGGGTTCCATTTATTTACCTTCAGCTCCTGTTCGACATTATCAAATGGGCAGTAGCAGGTGACAAATCAGCGTAGACAACTTATTTCAGCCTTTTATGATTAGTGATATAAATTCTTCTAACAGATAGTATTTATCTTCCGTTTCTATTCTACGAAACGGGGAGATTGAGTACTGTTAGGTATGGGGGGGTATTTCTAATTGGGTAGGGGAATCACGTTATGCTACAAACACGTCCCACCATATGTGATATCCTCAAATTACAGCAACACTTTCTTAAGTCCTTTCTTAAAAACTTTTAGAAGGAGCATGAGTTCCTTCAAGGTTGCAGATACGCCTTGCTGACGAGTGCCAACTAGTACGAAACCTAGGTCCAAGGCTTCCTACCGATTGCCTCCAACTATCTATAGTAAATGTGATTATGATATCAATTAGCAGCATCTGAATTTAAAAGGAAGTTGCTCACTAATTCCCATTTCAATTTACCATCTTTTTCGAATAGTATTCATAAGAACTCAGTTAGCCCACGCAACTATAAAGAACTGCGTCCACTTTACTGGCATCTAATCAATGCACTATCATTACGATTGTCGTAGGATTCTGGAGAGACTCATGTGACGTTTTCTAACGCGGAAAATCAATTAGAAAGAGGCTTATCGATAACAGTTTCAGTTCCAAATCAGATTCTGTTACGGAAAAACATCAGTTGGGGAATCACTGTACACTAAAAAGCATAAGATATTTGTTTGGTCCCAGTTTAGGATTCGTCAACATTGCACTTCCCATGACTCATGAAGATAATACCATGAGCTAAGGGTTGTGAGTTAAGCTCGTTGATCAATCAGACACTAGATTAGAGACCAATAATCCCTGAATCGTATATATCTTATGTTGAGAATATAGCTGAGGAGCCAATTGAATACGTCCATTTCTATAGGAGTTAAGTAGGTGATATCATAATTATCTGTGACGGGCTGTCGGATATCACAGAAATGTTTAATCGAATAAACAAAACGTGTTCTCCTTCAAACCACCGCCTATTGCAATGCTTTACTTACATGTATGTTTGGTGACATATGCATGGGGATGACCAATAAGTCTTTGCAAATTAGGGCTACAAAGAACCAAAATACAGTAGGTGAAGTGGAAAAGACGATAACTGGACCCCAATAAGCCTGGAAATAAAAGCCTAGCATCATCTGTCACAAGACGCATAGCAAAAAAGAATTGTAGAGTTGAATCCAACACATAAACATTAATATAATGGAAACCTAACCATAATGTATTCAGAAGTTATCTCTGATACTGAATCCTTCTTCATAAATCGTCTCGAAAACCAACGTTTGTTCTCACATTAGTATTGTGGTTTCGACCCCTAAGAATTTCACTGATAACTTTTTGAAATCTGACAAAATTTATAAAAATAGGTATGACAGGTACGTGGGTGGTCAGAATGATTGAAATGCGTTGATCTACTACATTATATAAGACAGATAAAGTGAGGCTTTTTTGTCTCATCGAAGAGCACTTTTGTTTCCCTTAGTCTTTAATTACTTTTATAGGTTAATTCTGTTAGGTTACTATGTACAAAAACCAAAAAAGTGCCAGCTTTTGAACTGATCACATTCCAGATGTAATATACGATGGATTCAGAAAAAAAAAGAAAAAGCGGACAAGAACCCAATCTAATGTAACTTTAAGTTGTTATATCACAACTTAACTCACCTTAATTTGATAAAATCTCATTAATACATCCCAAGCATGAAATCCAAAGGGACTAGACCGAGATTTTGAGGAATTCTTCGTGGAGATTTCATCATTTGTTGTTTCATTTAAATCTAAATATTCAAATCCATCCTCTGAATAATTTTTTGTGTCTAAACAGTTCATAATTGGACGAAGAAGAAAAGTACTGGACTTATGAACCAAACCCAGAGGTGAATTTTCATCTACTTGTGATAACGCCTTCTTTATAAGACCATGTTCAATAAGGTCACGCAAAGCAGTACAGAATAACCGACGTACGGCATGTACAACAGCACGTTCAGCTTCAGTATGTAAGAACTTGAATAGAATCAAAAAAACGTGAATGAGTAAACAAGTTATCCGTTAAGACCACAGATGCAATAGTAATTAAAGAATGCTCATGTAATACTTCAGGGCTAATAATAAACGATCTCTGCCTGTTGAAATTTGGTTGGGGAAATAAGTCAGGTGTCAGTTATAACGAACAGTATGTCCCATATAACTAAAATCATCTTTTTCTCAAAAAGGTTTTAAAATATATCAGATATTTCAAATAATCTGGCTATGATATACCAGGCCAGTAAATCAACAACCACATAAAAACATAACAATTAGTATTAGAGACATTTTAGGGATTAGCAATATTTGAGAGGTTGCTCGACGATTCAACAGCATGGAGACCACTATGCCTGATTTCTCGTTCGTTTATAATTTATTTATCATAGTAGCTTGTGAATACCCAACATACTGTCAATCGATGTTTTTTCACGTTTTTTAGATCTGCAACGCAAGTGTTTATGCGTGTTATTATCCGTCTAATAGGATAACTAAATAAACGTCTTTGTAAATATCGTAAATAGTGATGAGTAAAGAATGCAGAAAAATGCGTCTGTGACAATTAATAACCACCAACTGTTAACAGTGTTCAAAGAAATAAGCCCTAAAAAATTTATTATAACTGAAATGTCTACTGCACAGTCACCGAAATCGGGCAGGATACTTAGAGGAGGAGTCCAGACAACATTAATCTCTATAACAGTAGCCCAAACCTAGGAAGAATAAAATATAGATATCGGTTTCCTAACTCTAGTCCAGATTGTAAATACTAACTCCAGTGCAAAGCGATCAAAAGAATACCTGATGATTTAACTCCAGAAGTGTTCAAGGTTAGAGATGATGAATTAATAACTAGACAAAGTGATGTATTAACTAGTGTATAGAAACTTCCGATTGTTCCCCTAGACTGATACTGATAATTAACCATTCCAGTATATAAGAAAAGAAATAAATCATGTGAAAATTTCAGTTTATAGTATCTAATATTCTGAGTTCCGTAGTTTTACGAAAACCAAGTGTCAATTGAGAGAAAAAACACCGAGAAAGCCTGGGTCTTTTCAGACCCTGATGAGAGTAAATTATTTATATTTTCACCACTAGGTATACAAACCAAAGACCAGACACTTGCAGTGTTCGCTGACCCGTAAGTGGAGATTGACTCCACCGAATGAAAGGTGCTATTTGTAGTGTCTATCTTAGAAGAGAAGACTAAGAAAGTACAATATGTTAAACTAGGCACTCTACCCAAAACCATGAAGTTGTGTGAGAACATACGGAAAATTATCCTACAAAGTGAAAATAATCAATGGTGTTCGTCAGAAATACCTCAGGATGTGACCCAGGCAGACTTCAATTTATCAGAAATTCAACAGCTACCTAGGAAACGTCCAAATAATCCTCAGTGCACACTTAGTATAGTCCTTTTCGACGAAGAGAGTGACGAAACACAAAGTCTTCTAAACAAGATCCTACGGATACTTAGAGTGTAATTCGCCCCCGTCAAATGTAAAATGATGCTGCAGGATTCGTTTACACCGCCTCCTAGTTTAAGAATAGGAAGTGAGATGGTTGAATGTGTTGAAGACTTCACTTATTTAGAGAGCTGCATCAAACTTAACGAACTAATTGTTGACGAAATCTCAGCTCTGATAAGCAGGCTAATCTGGTATTTGCTAACATGAGGCACCTTAAACACAGATGGAGTATCCTTCTATTGATCACAGAGAGTATGAGCTATGCAGCCGTTTGTCCAAGCTTCTTTGCCATAGAGATGTGGCCTTTGGAAGTGAAGGATATAAGGATGCTAGCCGTTTCTGTTTCATCTCATCTGTTGGATGATATAAGACGGTAAGTGGTGTTGAAAATAGGTGCAGAGTATTAGGCACGGATGGGCAGCTAATCGTTGAGGTGATGAAGCTCCATCAATTAGGATGACTAGGAAATGTGTTGCGCTTCCAGTGCCACTGTCTTTTCCGAGGAGTGAAAGTAGTTGAAATAGAATTAAATTTGAAAAGAATTATGAGTGGTTAGATGCAAACACGGTACTAATCCATGATCTATTAGACTGTTGGTTTGAGCCCCTCATTAAGTGAGTGTTAATTCCATAGCTTCAGTCTTTGAGATGTTATAAATGAATATATTAAAAATTTCAACAGGTAAAAAATAAGAGCAGTCAAAGAAGGGAAGGACACAACTACAGAAGATATTATAAAAAAACGTCCTTTGTTCTTAGATTTATAAGGAACAGTCCCACAAAATGAGCTCTTCAAATTTACCATTTTAATATCTACCACATATCTCTTTTACTTACACATTATCGAAGGGTGTTCACCACTCAAACAAATTGTGTCAACTGGTGTACAAAAGTTTACTGAAATATGTATTCGGTGATAGTTATGGACTGAGGAGTGGAGATGTCTCTTCTTCAAGCACAGAAATCTCATCCAATAAGAAATAAAAGGAAATATTCCAAAACTCAGTTTAGTTTAAGGCAAGTTTGATTACTTCAGAACATGAGAATACATAAATGAAACAGAAAACTTGGGCCATTCCTAAATATGTGGTGTTACGCATATCAAAGTGAGAGCCTTATTTGGAAAAAAATGCAAATACATGTTTACTCGGAGGTTGTACAAAATGCTGTTGGGTTATGAAAATTTAAAAAATGCCTCCTAACATTGCATCCTTTGATCTACTTTCATTTTACGCCTGTTCAAATTTCGTGGGCTCAACTCGATTGTATGAAATTAGACAATGCAAAATACACTGTGGAAATGGATTTTAAAGATCCTATTTAACAAAACAGAACTTTGAACATATATAACTGATAATGAATTTGGATACACAAAGAGGATACAGTCATAAAGATTCTCGATTATTGAATACAGTTATCAGGATTCCCTGGGCCTACACTTCGTTCTTTTGTTAGCAATTGTTAGCAAGGAGATTATGCAATCATTGAAGGAACTCATTTCCCCTCTAAGAATCGAACCCCCGTCATTTATTACTTATGTGAAAGACGTTACCACTGAGGTATCAGTGTTCGTGATTGACCTCCTGTGGAACCGCAATCGATACTTTTTGATTGGTTACTACCTAGTGACCGACCAAAAAAATAACAAAGGCTCCGGTGGAATCAAGTGCTATTCTGGGCAAATCAAACATTGTGTAACAGCAAATGTTTATACAGGCTAGTTTACCTAAATAACAGTGATAACCTAGACAAGGAAACATTTGTAACCCTAACAGCCATTACTAATACTTATTAAATATATATTGTTGGCTTGTTTAAAACATTAGATACAGAATAATTCAAAAAAGTGGCAAACTAATAATCATCACTTATGCGTCGGTGGCACAGTGGTTAGGACTCTCGCCAACCATGCACATGGTCCGGGGTTCGAACCCCTACCGACGCACACCCGATATCTATGGTCGGCCTGCAAAATTTGGGCTACCGATATCCATGCTGAAAATTCCATACTTGTACTGAAAATACAGTGAGGCATCAAACTGTAATAAAAATAAAAATAAATAAAAATAAAATTTATCAAAGCATTTAAAATAACTTACTTCTGTCTCATAAGGATCATCCATTAAGTCATCATTTTCTTCAGTACATGAAACTGACTCAGTTTTCTCTTCATGTAATGAAAAGGCTTCTGAGAACACTCGATCTGGTCGACCACCATGCAGCATTGCACGTAAACTAGCATCGTGTAAATTCTGAACAGGTAAGGCGATTTGAGTACCCGGAACTTCATCTTGACTAAAGACTTTACGTGTTGATGCATATGGTCTAACAATACTACTACTTCGTGTAGGCATACTTGGTTTGCCATCTGGACTTTCACGTCCTAAAGGAATGTCTTGATGACTATCTGATGCTTTACTATTTGACCATATGCTATTCGGAATTGTATGATGTGTGGCGTATAAATTTATTGATAGTGTTTTAGTTAGTCTACAAGCTTCAAGAGCAGCTACTTTCTCTTGAACAATATTTATGGCTACTTCAAGACGAGCTCGAATTGTACCCCAGTGTTGTGCTTTAGCCTTCTCTACAGTGGCTGAATTTGCTTTACTAGCTAAAAATAAATTTTTATAAAAATGAAAACGACACATTTTAATGATTAATTGGTAATAGTTAATAGAACTGCTGCTGATTATTAGTAATTTATATAAATAACGCATAATGCCGTCAAAAGTAATATCTTTTATTCATCTAGGCACTCGAGTTTCAACTTGCTGATCGTAGTTTTAGAAGGTCATCCGACTGAAAATATACCTTGGGCTATTATAATTCAAAGATGTTCACTCAAAAAAACTGTCTATAGGTCATCACTGCAACATAAGTAGAAACGATGCGCGTCAAAGATTTGAGCTTGCTCCGTCCATTGATGCAATCAAAAAGTCAATATCAAGGTATTCATACTGCAAATGACAATCAGTAAAACTGTGTTGGCCATTTGAATAAAGTGAGAATAACAAATTTAGCAGGGTGATGAGCTCATTTTTTTGTTATTTTGTAGATCATTCTTAACTGCTTACAATACTCTTAGCAACTAATAAGTGAATTTCTTGCAGCATACCGCAAGTACGTCACTTATGATTTCTATCAAAAACTAATTGCAAACATAAAATTATATATACAGCATTTTGTTATGTACATAACTTGGTAATGTTTAGGTGGTAAGCAGTTGCGTGGAATCTGCAAAATGACAAAAATGACTCCCTATTATTCCGTTATATGTGTTGTTCTGTCTTTGTTAACGTTTATTGATGGAAATGTTGACTACTAACCAAAATGCAAACCCTGTTTTATTCTTTAGGCCCTAGTTCTAATCGAATTCAAGCCATCAATTTTTTGCATTCTAAGGAAAAAGCCCGAATACATGGAATCTATAATAAGTTAGATACCTAAATCCAGGACATTCCGTGAGATTTTCCTCGACCATCTGATGCCAATTTAAAAGGGGACTGAGATGATGAGACTTATAATTTGGTGACCACATCACCAACTCCTTCTGGAGAATTAAGTCAACATTGGTCATCAAACATGACACCTGTCACTGCTTAATGATCATCCTGGGTAAACGATCTCCATTTTGATAATATTCTTCATCATTTCTTCGAGAACTTCTGAAAATATTATAGCATTAGTTCCTAGTTAAAAAGACAGTTTCACATAGACAAAAATAACTAGTTAGAAGATATTTGGGCACCAAGAGATTGCACCACACAAAATCCCATAGCCTCTGAGACAGTTGGGATACTGTCGCTCAGACCGAAACAGGTGGTTATCTCAATGGGCCAGTCTCGGAGCTTTTGATTTGAAGTCTGATCTATAAAGCAGTGGAACATGGTCAGGCGCTACGCTCGAATGTTTGCCGGTGACCAAAACAGGTTGATACGCTGCTCAATCCTTTCGGATTGTGGAGCCCATTGGATTAGAATCAGTGTTTTCCAGCCCTCCTAGGTAGACCTAAATGTCCACCAGTCCGATTATAAGCACCAGACGTTCACGTTCACCCTTTCACTTTTTGTAAGGAATACTCTTGTTGAGTGAAGGGCAGCTAAACCCAAGAATATATATATATATATACAAACAAGAATGGGGAAAATACAAGTTAAGCCCTATATTCACAAAGTAAAAAGCACTTTTAAAACAGTAAAGAGATTACACTCAATTCTTACTTTTCTGAGTTGAATATTTATTCACGTTGAGCTTAGTGAATAATGTGTCCGGATCTTGATCTAAGTGACTTGCAGCGAATAAGCTGAGAATAGTAATAGCTCGTTGCATAAGACTCATTATACTTAATCGAGATTTCTGAAAAGCGAGTAGATAACACAAGATTTCATGTAGAAATGTTTAATTTAATTTTGTCATACTGACTAGACAAGTATAGTCATCAGCTACGATTGTATCCAAATAGTTTTTATTTCATACCTTTAAATAAATTATTGACTAATATATTCTGGTGCTAGGTATTCGGAGGTAATCAGTAGGAATTCCAGGACATAGGTTTCGTACTTCATGATACTCAACAGTCAGTAAGAGATATCCGAGGAACTGTTGTCCTCTGGTAGATTCGAATCGCTGGTCACCTAGTGCTGCGGTCATAAAAGTTGCCAGTGACCTATTTAAGTAATTTGTTGGGTGAAATAGTAAAATACTTCTGCGGAACTTTAGTGGCTAAGACTTGCTATATGCTACTGAGAATGAGTAGGACTACACTCGTGAATAATCTCATGCATACAATTTATGGATAACATTGAATTTATCGAAGAAAAAAGTAGTAGTAGAGAATTAAATTAAAATGGAAACATTATTACAAAGTCTTATCTGTAGATATAATGGTTGACTTTTTCAACAAGCCAGATAATCTGTTTACATGATAAAGGCAAAGTTCAGCGAAGAGTCTCTTTTCGGCGAATTCATTCACTTAGCTGTACAATCGCATTTACATATAATTATTTTTTGTGTGTGTACATTATGATTGTTAGACAAAAATAAAATGAAAATTAGTTAGAGTTACTGTTTACGTCATCAAAGTGTTTTCAAAATGTGATGAGTAATCAAAATTGTAACTAGGGGGGTGAAGATTGGTAAGTATTGACGAGGGTTGCGTAATATGAAATGGGATGTTAATGGAGACACGTGTCCAAAAAATTAATTATGTAATAGGTAGAAAGAGTAAAGAAAGGGTTGGTTAAGAAGAAGATGGTCCGTTGAAACCGACAATTGGCAAGTTCTGTCTATACAAAAGGCACGTCGATGACACTTTCGTCATCTGTGATAACAAATGTGACCTGAATAATGTCCTTCGAGTTTTAAATAGCTGCCACCCAGCCATCAAATTTACGATTGAAGCAGAAACCGGAGAGACAGTTTGATTTCTGGATGGCCGACCAACATAGAAGACTGATGGGACCCTAGAGAGATCAATATATCGGAAGCCTACGTGGAATGGCTAGTTGAAAAACTTTTACAGTTGGGTACCCATCAATCGCAAGTGGAACCTGATAGTATCTCTTGCGGCTAGAATCCGCAAAATATGCAGCCACGAATCAGTAGAAGAGGAGATCACTTTTTTGAGGAAGACACTACTTGAGAACGGCTATCCATCACGTTTTATAGATAAACATGTAAAGCTGAAAATTAACAAAGAACAGCCCATCTCTGTGCCAAAGAAGATGCTACACATGAATGTGGCTTTCAAAGGCGACCTTTTGACCGACATCTTAAAGAGAAGAACATCTTACGATCGGTATTTTCATGTCGCCTATTGCTCTTTGAAAACTCCAAAGATAAACCATCGCATTTGACCACTTCTGTGTGTATCTACCAATTTACTTGCTCATATGGAGCGAGGTATGTAGGTCGTTTGATGCGTGTTTTATCCAAAATAGCCAAAGAACATTATCCCGCTTGTCTAAGGAAAGGTAACAGTGGATCAATAAAGAATGCTATAATTGAACATATAGTCAACACTGGTCACTCAATATACACGGAGAATTCATTCAAAGTCATCTACAAAGTCAAAAAGCCCCCTCCCCCGAAAACGGTAAGCTTCCGTATATTTTGCATTGCCGAAGCTGTGGAGATACAGTTTGAAAACCCTGATTTATGCACGCAGAAGAAATTTCTCTACCCCTTCTTTCTTCCTTGGGTACAATTCTAAGTCCTACGACTTTGTTAATAATGCTTAGTTTTCTTTTTTGTTTTTGGAATTTTTGTAAGACGTCTTAGTAACATCTTCTTAACCAACCCTTTCTTTACTCTTTCTACCTATTACATAATTAATTTTTTGGACACGTGTCTCCATTAACATCCCATTTCATATTACGCAACCCTCGTCAATACTTACCAATCTTCACCACCCTAGTTACAATTTTGATTACTCATCACATTTTGAAAACACTTTGATGACGTAAACAGTAACTCTAACTAATTTTCATTTTATTTTTGTTTAACAATCCTAATGTACACACACACACACACAAAATAATTATATGTAAATGCGATTGTACAGCTAAGTGAATGAATTCGCCGAAAAGATAGTCTTCGCCGAACTTTGCTATTCTTTTAAACAATATTTTCTTGGTATCGAGGTGCTACAACAAACATATTTCTTGTTGAAACTCATTCACGTTGAAATACACAGAATAATGGATACATCGGTTGTATTCTCTTTCAGCCTATACGGTCATCTGAAGAAGGTGAGGCAAATTCTAGTAGGAACTTATAACTGCTGGGATCAAACACGTCAGGTAGAGAGGAATATAAAGGCAGTAAATTAACAGTTATTTCACGTCATGGCGGGTGTATATCGGAAACTGAAAAAAGCTAGAAAATATAAGATAACATTCGTATCTCAGTCTTTAGCTGTACAAGATAAAAGGTAGCTGTGGGTTACCATTTTTGAACAATTACAAAAAAGAAATTAAAACCTTTCTAATTCTTCTTAATTTTCAACAATCATCTACTATTATTCTTATTATTTTTTGGGGTTCTGAGTGGAACAAAGGGCTTCAGCAGTCCACCTCCATTTCAACCTGTTCTCTGTAGTTGTTTTAATCGGCTCCATGATCGCTTTTACCGTTTCATCTCTTCCACACACAATCTGTTTATGTAACTCCTAGACCCATGTCTAACTGGCAACCTTCAATTCAAGGGCATACCTAGCTCGTGATGTCAATCAACAGTCTCCACAGTGAATGTCCAATCCATCTACTTGATATTTACTTGTATATGAAGTAAGTATACACTTAAAGAATAACAACTATTGATATTACATTTACCAGTAAGAGGAAAAATCAAATTAATAAGAAACTCATAAAATAACAAATTAGTTTACTTTATTATCCCGACTAATTGATTTTGTATTTTTGAATTGTTCCTTAGTATACTGATCCTACAAAGTCAAATAAAACAAAACAAATATAGATATTTCCTTGTAAACAAATAAGTTGTAGTTAAAGGACAACAAGCTACAAGATACATATCGCGCACATACATACACACACACATAGACACGGGTATATCAACTAAAATTAAATGGTGAAAAAAGGATATTTACACGAATACAACAATAAATTACAAAAACTAAAAGAAAAATGAACACTAGATACAGACACAAATATTAGGGTACATAGGTTACTTGTTAAAACAACAAAAGCAACAACAATGAAGACATCAATAGCACTTTAAGTTAATTCCTGCAAAACACTGAATGGCTAATTATGGTCGATGCTGCAAAAAGAGTATTTAGTGACAATGTACAACGACGAAAAAAAGGGGCAGCAGTTAAATACAAAGGCGACAGTATGGATTAAAACGGAAAAGAAAAACCATTACTAAACTAGGCGAAAATAAAACAGACAAACTAATGCCTGCAACACTGAATATAATACACAGAAGACTAACACAGATAGATAGAACTACCTCGGTATAGATATCATCAAAATTATCATCATCGTATTCTTCATTTGTATGAAAATACTGTGAGTCGGGATGAATATGACGACTATGTCCTAATTGTACACCATGATGAAGATTTTGTGTAGGATTGTCACTATCATCTGAAAGATTGTCTTTATCTTTATCATCGTCAACAACAGTATCACCATTTTGAGTTTTATACATATCTGAACTTTTAGAATGCCGACAACACGGTGCTTTATCATTTGCTGACAGTTGTTGATGTGTACGCTTGAAATCAGCTAATGCTTTAGCCAAAGCATCACTACATGCACCAGAGCCTATACAAAAGATAATATTCAAAATATATAAAAGATATGTTTTTCCTGTGTACTGCTGTGTGTACAGGAATGAAAAATTATTTACGTTTAGTTTGGAACAAGAAATATTTGTTGGGATTAAAATTAATATAGCCACTGTAAATTATGTTTAAAGACCAATGAATTCTAGACGTTGCTGTACAATGAACTCAATGCCTGTTAATCTCCAGATAGCTGTAGAAATGGTGCTGATCTGGCTGGGGACTTCGGAATGAGCGAGACTCATGATGGTGGAGATAATGAAATCTCAAAATTTAAGTGTAGATTTATCCCTAATTTTTATATTTTTTCATTCCTTGCGTTCCGAATACAACATAAGGATCCAAACCTTTTGTTGAAATTTAAGTAGTGATCTTGTTTTCACTAGGTGAGGTTGCTGGCCTCACACTCAATTTTCCTTCTTCTCCGGGTTTACCACCTGTAAGTAAACTAGGAGAGATGTTTTCGGAATGCGTCAGTCGGAAATTAAGCCAAAACCTGTCGCATGGCTAGCAGCTGGATGAAAGTCAGGAGTCCTTAGCGCCAGATTACTGAGTAAGCCCATACAATCATATCTATTTATTTGTTTCAGAAACTATTCAAGACTCTTATCATCTTCAGTGAACTTTATTTCCCACCTTTTTACTTTTCAACTTAAGGTATGGTGTGACAGTTTAGACAACTGCCTTGTTCTATTCAAGTGTTGGTTTACAGGGATTTGATTAGTTTCAGGATTCCATGGACCATAGGATCGGGTCCTAGTGGCTTAATGGTCTACGAGCTCGCCTTGCAACCAGAAGGTCCTGAGTTTGAGCCTCAGTTGGTGCATACTACTGAGGAGTCCCAAACTAGGATGAAACAGCTCTCCAGTACTCCCAGGTTTTCAAATGGCCCTCTAACCGATGTCAGTTCATGATGGGATGTCTGGTTCTATGTTGATAATTAGTCTTTACGTGTCTTTGAATACAATGTTTTGCGTTAAATGCTAATATTCCAAAGAGAAACAAGAAAAAATATATTAGTGAATGTTTTATGGTCAGTGGATTATATTTCTGAACATAAGATAAATGAAAGCAATAATGATAATGATAATAGTAATGGTAATGATTCTATCAATAACAAGGATGAAAAAGTGAGGCGATCTGTGATAACAAGAATAACGAAAAACAGCATGATTAAACCAATAAATGTTCAGGTGGAAGCAGTCGATAAAAGCTAAGATAAACAAATGGACCGATTAAGTAATGCTAGATTGTAAGGGAAGTAAACAAAATATGACATAATAACTAACTGCACAATTTGTATGTATAATCTTATTATCCTATTGGTGAAACACCGTGACTGGTTTATATTTTAATATTTATTTGTAAAGTTATGTCTATTAGAGTTAAGCCTGATGAGGTCTAATTGAAAACAGTATTGTTCGCATAAATCTGTGTTGTTCTAGATTTTACTATGGGAATATTTAATATATTGAAATGAAAGTAAGTACATTTTAAGTTGGATTTTACTTCTTATTTGTAATTACTTTTTATTTTCCATTAGATTATATGCATACGATTACAAAGAAATATGCAGTCTCAAAGCTGAATTTAATGACGGCATAATTTTTACCTTCCACCTGATCAAGTTTGGACAATAAGAAGTTTATCGATGTTATAGTCGTAATATAGTATTCGTAACCGTTATATATATACAAGGTAGAGAGTTGAGATACTTGAATCAAATTATTGGCCGTAGAGATCACTATACAGAGTTTTAGTGTATTCCCCATAAATGACCTTAAGATGTTATTTACTAAAAAATATAGCATTTGTTAACCCGCATTACTTATTGTTGTGTTAAATCGAATATTTGCGCTTGTACAACAAGAGTTTTAGTTTTATATATAGTAAGACTGTATCTGAAATTGATATATGCATTATTGGATTCTTTTTTAAACATCGATTTTAATGACGAAATCGACCGAATCCTTACATGTCCAAAGTGAGAATTTATTCCATTGATTATTGGTGACTGACAATGGAAAAGGCCTCCTAAGAAAGTTATAAATAAGTATGATTCACCAAGTTGAGTGTAAGGCATGATACTCATTGAGAAAAATGGATGTTAGTGATACTGTTTCATGAATTAACAGAAAATAGGATTTATGGGTCACTGGGTTCCATTCAACCCAGTAGCTGAACGGTAGGTAGTTTTCGCCTCATTTGATCGCTGGTAAAGTGATGGGGTGCTCACTACAAAAATTCCCCAACATGGAATGAAACGCCTATTGCCTGTTTCACCTTATTACCACATTTTGTAATTTAACCCTTTCAGATCCTTGTGTATTCATTTATGTGGTGATAATGATACCCTCCAACTTTAATCTGTTATTTGATTGAAGTATGTGAATATTCTTATATTGTACTGATGCTAAAATTGTTTTAAGTTGTATGCAGTTGAAAATAACCAATGAAATAAATTGACTTCATATTTATTGTTATTACTTTGTTCAGACTAGTCAAGGGGAAATATAGAGAAATGAAAACACTGGTATGATGTAAACATCGTATTTGTATGAAACCTCAGCATCTTTTGAGTATGAATGCATTTGATGCAAATAATAATAATAATAGTAGTCATAAATGTAGTAATTATGAATACATGAGCTTGAATGCTGTCATCACGAAGGCTTTATTATTCCTTTATTTTGTTTTACATAGCTGTTTTAAAATGTATTACAAATAGGTAACTATTTGAGTAGACAGTTTGCAAACAGATTATGGGAAAATAGTTGATTGCGTTGATAAATTGTCCTTTCAGATTACAGACGTCGTTTTGCCAAAAAGCAGTATGTGATATGTGGAATATTTCATGCAAATCAGATGCTCTGGACGACCTTGAAATCATCACACAGTTACTTATTCAGCTACTCAAAAGTTTGTACATTCAGAATTTCAACAAAAAAATTTTTCCTTAAGACTTCGTCACAAATGGAATTATGCTGTTTAAACTGGTGTGTCGGTAGTTCAATGGTAAAATTATCACCAGTCACGCGGTAGGTCTGGATTTGATTCCCGGCGGACGTACTCCGAAAACACCTTGTACAGTTTACTGGCTGCTAGCAAGCCTGGAGAAGAGGGAAGGTTGGGAGTCAGAACAGTAACTCTACTCCTTAAAAACGCAACCACTGCTGGAACCTAAAATGGTTGGAAACATTTGTTCTACTTAGAACACAAATAACGAAAAAAGACAGGTGGATAACGTTTTCCAGACACTCAAATTAATTGACCTTATTGGTAATAAATTAGTAAAATTTGTCACGAGCGTAACCAATACTGAACAGGGGATCTTTGAAAAACAAACATACAAATAAAACCTTATCAATGTGAACGAACAAACAAACGCAATTTACAAAACCAACTGTAAAGACCAACCGCAACACCATATTACCCAGTCCGATCGCCAGATTTCTGAGAGAATTCACGAAAGTTAACTAGCAGTAAGAAGTAGCTAGCGACCTGCTTGAATCACTGAGCTAACTGAATTTCCATCCATATAATGTATAACATTTTCTCTATTTATTATTGTTGTAACCATTCAATTATATTCGCTGGTCAGGAAATGTACTCACACACTTTTTTAATTAGTTTTCAACCTACTGGTGCGCATTTTTCGGAGACGAAAGAAGAATATCATAAGGGATTAGTCTATGTTTCAGATAGAACAGCATTGTGTCACATGATGTACTACAGATCGCTCTTTTACTTGAAGATCCTAGATGAACAGAAAATATTATGCAATAAACTACAATGAGAATTCTGTACATTTTGCAAACAGTGTTATTTACTGGGTAATGTTTTCAACATACTTTACTATTCATATCAAATCTAATATGATTCTAAATTTAAAAAATTGTTTCCAAAATGTTTTATACTGTGTGGTCTATGTAATAAACAAACTATATACCTCTCCACGCAGTTTGGGACAATTGAAATTAAAACACGAGCAAATATTTTTGTTTTTTATGTAATAAATAGTGATGTCTATTAAATTTCCTAACTATTTTTACATACTCGAATGAACTTATAATAGCATTTTGAGACATAATAAATACGTATGAAAGAAGGCTAAGAAATCCTTTTGACATGAGGGTGGGATTAACATAATGACAGAGGGAGTTTTTTCCAACACCCCTCCTAGTTTAGATAACCCATAATTCTGATTTCTTAGATATCTGAAATTATTTTTACAGATAAGTTAACAAAAACGCATACATTTTTTTCTTAACTTGCTACGACTGTATATTTCAGTGACTTATAAATAAATAAATTTCAATTCCAATTTTTCGAGTTTGACCACGGATTGATATCAGTTAGAGAACCATTGAAAACCAGGGAGTAGTGGACAGCTGTTTCATCCTAGTTTGGGAATCATCGACAGTACGCACTCACTGAGTCTCGAACCCAGTATCTTCCGGTTACAAGGCAAGTTCGTATGCCATTCAGCCACCGGGAACCGATTCAGTAGCCCATGAATTCTAACTTCTACTAATTCGTGATTTACCGCGACCACCAACCAATGTCATCGGCGGGAAATCCATCCTCACACTTGACTGGATGGACCTCACTGGTCAGGACTTCTCACTACAACTCCAGGAAACTCCGTCCTTACCAACCAACTCTTGAAAATTAATCTGAAAACCAAGGAGCCCTTAACAGCTGTTCTGTCCAGTTTTGAAACTCTCCAGAAGTGTACACCCATGACCCATCACCAAGGATGAAATGCAAGACTTTCAGGACTTATGAAGCCAGTACTTTGTCTATTTAACCACTGAGTTAGAATACAATGACCTATGAGTTATCACTGTTGTCAGTTCATGATATAGTGCTACCGGTCTTTGGTTTCCAGTGATTCGTTAAATGATAGTTGTTCGTGGCGAAACATACATTGAAATTAATCTGAATCTGTTATATAACTCAAGATTTGAGATTAATTTTACTTTGAAGACCTGTTCAATCTTATGGGGGTAATATTTGGAGCAATAGGAAGAACCAGACGTTACCTGACAATGAAATGTGCTCATAACAAACAAATGACACATTATAGCTCATGCCCCTTTTTGTATCCTTGTGAGTTCACTGTATTATTTAAAAGAGAATATATGTGAATTACATACATACACTAACAGAGGAATAAAAGGATGAAAAAGTAACCTGAGAATAAAGTGATGACTATTTCATACTTTCTTTCACCTTCAGCGTTCAAATCATGAAATTGATTCATTCACTCTGGGTTTTTTTAACTGTAGAATGAAAAACTGATACTGTGACATAAGCCTAGAAGAGAAGAAAATCTTTCAAGCCTGAACATGTCTAGTAGTCATCTCTAAGCAAAAAGCAACACAATAATATTAATAACAATGATAATAAAAGCAACAATAATGACAGGTTTTCTGTTGGCTGTTCGCCAATAAAAGACAACTAATGCAATCTATTAGTCAGTTATATTTATTGTCTCAGGCACAATTGTGTACAGTCTTTATGAATCAATAAAGAAAGAATGAACGGAGAAAAAGGACTGAAAGAAGAAACAATTGAAAAAGAAATTATAGAGTAAGGGGCAAGTGGTGATGTGCGATAACTAAAATACTATGAGCTTGAATGGATACCACTTGGACACAAGTAAAAACGGAGTATTCCTGGTGCAGTAGGCTGTAAAATAACGAAAATGTTATGCTACGTGTTTAACTTTGAAGTCTGAGACGTAGGTATGACTATGAAGCAATATTTACTGTCATAGACTGGCAAGAACTCCAAAGCCGCTCAAGTAAATACCCTCAATTCATAATTAAATGTCAAATATATAGATAATATATTATGTCATTAGGTCAACATAATAACACTACAATAAGCGTCGTTGTTAGAGTCTGTTTTAAACCCACTCATAAGGATAAATTACCTAACAGTACACATGATGCTCATGCTTTATAATACATTTCCTTTCCCTTATGATCTATCACTTTCTTTTCAGTGCATACAAAAATGAAATTCTATCAAGAGAATATGAGTCGGACGAGCAGACTAAAGTAGAATCTGAGGGTATAGAACAAGGATCGCTTTGTCTCGCCTGTACTTGGCAGCAGTACAAATAGAGCAATTGAACAGTAAGAAAAGATATATAAATAAGAACTGCTTTCTTCATACTGAAATGACATGTATAATAAGGCAAACACAGCTGTGTTGTGTTCAGTATTTGACGGCACAGAATTACTGTCTGCTTAAAGACTTAATGAATTCGATGACAGAACAACAGTAAACCTTTTGACAATTATTACAGTAACTTTTTAATATCTCTATGAAATATTCAGAACAAGAATAATATCAGCGAAAAATCGTCTATAATAACCGTTTCTTCAGTCTTTACAGTTATAGATCTATGAATGTTAGTATAGAAAAGCCAGTAAAGGAAAATCAAAATTATACCACAGGCTATATTGAGTACAAGTACAAGATGAAAGTAGTCTGTTGGTTTTAACTTCTAATTAAATGCATAAAAGGTAATGTATAATCATTAAGAACATAAGATGAAGTGAGATCAATCAATTTAGTTACCTGCTCATGTTTTTATAATCAACAAAATTACAAATTTCAAACGGTGAGTTGTATCCAGTGGTGTGAGACAATATATAAATAATACAAAAATATAAATAAACAAGTGGTGTCAGTTTAGTGGTTCACTGGTTGAATGCTTGCCAAATAGGCACACTATCTGTGGTTTGATTACCACACAACGCATTTCTAAACCTCGCCCAGTCTACTAGTCGATGGGTAGCCCCGAAAAACAGGAAAGACTGGGCATGAGACTAGCAGCCCAATTCCATAAAATCAACACCACAGCTCCTGGGACTTCAGAGAATCAAGTCCGAAGCCCGATTTTTCACTTGAAACGCAAAGGAATGAAAAAATAACAATAATAATTATGATAAAAATACAGTGGCTATAGAGTGGACATTAATCAGGTAGTGACGACATAGAATAAGCTTAGTGTAAATCCAAAGTATTACAAATAATAATAAAAGTAATAGCAGTATTAATGATAGTAATGTGAAGTGAACTAGGTAAATGATAATAAAAACTAACCGAGAATTATTTCATCTTGCACGTGGACCTCAAAACAATTTCTGATACAATTATTACAATCAATACTTTTACACTTTATCAAACTTCCCACTATTACAAGTTTCAGTGTAGTGCTTAATTATTAAAGACGGCTGAAATTCATTCACTATTCATATAGAAAGTCAGTTTGTTGAAATTTACCATGTGAAATGTTTTCACAAAATCAGCTGAAGTACAACCGCGTTACAGACAACACTTCATCTCAGCCTTATAACCGCACAGTCAACTTCGTCGCCAAGAGAGAAAACTCAAACAATGACTTAATGACATAAAAACTCACACTAGTCGAGAGAGATTTTGAGAGTAACAGTCAACCGGAAGTGAATCACTACAATCCTTGCATTTCTAATTTGCCTGATTCCTTTATATCAGTAGATTATAATAAGAATTCTGGAAAAGCTAAATGTTTCAAACAATTGATCTATAGTGAAAATAAGAAAGGAACTACATATCTACGATTAATAATCAGGTATTAGAAAAATCATTGGAATCCAGAGGTGACTGGTTAGAATCTTGCTTTCTGTTTTAATCTGTTTCATCATCTCCTTGCTATAAGATCAACTGAACTTATCGGTTTTAAGATGTGAAGGGCCAGCTGTGAAAAGGCACTTTACCGATGATGAATAAACAACTGTCATACCAGAGCTAGACAATATTTCAAGTGACTGAAATGAAATTAAGAGCTGACTAGCAATCCAATACTAAAAGAACACAGTCCGTAAACTGAAGGCTGATAATTAGAATCGTAATATAAAACAGGTCTGCATTTCAACTTTAGTAATTGCCCTGATAAAATCAATCTATTAAATAAGGTTTGAGTCAAAAGAATTTAATCGTGAACCAACAGTACCGAAAATGTTTCGCCACCTACCATGAAGAAAATCAATAAATCGTTCCAAATCATTCACTTGAGTTTTCAGCTGTTCCACAAGTTTTTCACTAACTTTGACAGGATTTAAAAACTGGAATTCAAATGAAGATTTCATCACACATAAATTATTATCGGCAGTTAGTAAGTTATGCAAGAAAAAGTAACAAGAACGGATCAAGTTCATGCTTAAATTAAACACCAACATAAATAATTGTTCAAATATACACTTCAAAAATTCAAAGCAATTTGATGAATTGCTACAAAGTAATGTGCACTACCACTTCTTTGTATTCGTTAAACAAGAAACTAGAATGCAGGAAACAATCAGACCGTGATTTCATATGAGAATAAAGATAAAATTTCAGTCTTATACCGAGGAACTCAAAGAAGAATCTGACTTTCATGGTATTGAAACTGAAAGTACCAACAGCCGTACACACTTCAAATAACACCTACACTCTTCATATTCTTACTTCCATTATGCTTTTGCCTGATACGATTGCTATTTCTATTCTCCATACAGTTTCACCATCATCTTTAAACTCTGCGATCACTGTGAACACCTTAAGCCAAAGAAACATTCTTCTCAATCTCTTAAATCAACATCACTAACCTTATATTTGAGCTCTCAACAGCTGTTTCTGTCCATCTGTAGCTTCAAACAGAGGTAGGTGCTGCCCCATTTGGTGACAGCGGACATTAACGTAACGACTAAATGAATGTGGAACAGGATAGCCTGAGGTTTGTGCTTAAGTACGAGATAACTAAAAAATATCTGAGTCTGACAGAAACACTCATCTTCAGAAAGACTGAAACCACATTCAGTCTACTGTGAAAATGTTAGTGAAGACAGTTGGTAACGTGCAGTCGAAAATTAATAAATACCAGTGAGTTTCTGTAGCCTTATTCAAGCCGACCAATGCAAAAACTCTTCCCGGAAAGGTTCGAACATGATAAGGTATGATAGTCACTTAAACGTAAGATGACCATCCAACTGCAGGAAGAATGGAATGTGAGCATCGGTTCACCAGCTCTAACCACGATTGCAAATGTTGGCTCTAATGTCAGACGAGGCAAACCACAACGACGTGATGGTATGACTCTAGTGGTATTTAAGGATAATGGTGAATTACTGTCTAAACCATGTAAAGTATTAGTTAGTGTATAGAAACCCACAATAGATCTATCGAACTGGTTTAGATCATTGATCACTCGAGTTAATAAATGTTACCTCAGCCAAATTAAAACTTCAGTTCGCTATCACGTGATTGACTAATGTTCAAAAAAAGCCATATACTCTCAGGCATTATAAGTTTAGTGTGCGTCCTACTATTCTCAATATTTAGCTTAGTCACTGTAACTCTCACAAACAAGTTTGTAAATTTATTCTCCTTAATGAATCTGAATAAAGCTTTATTCAAAAACAAGTCTGTACTGAGTCTGATGCGTTACGCTTCCAGCCTACAGCTATGAGATATGGCCACTGAAAGTAGAATTAGAAAGACTAGAGGTTTTTTTACAAAAAGGTAATTTTGTCCAACTGATCATGTTAGGTGGAACCATATGAACAGTAGTGGTGCGGCTAGATGTAGAATATTAAATAAAAAGGTAGGTCAGTGGTAGAAGTTATGAAGCTTCATCAATTTAAGTGGCTAGAATTTGTACTAGGCATGACGAACCACCTGTTCCCACAAGAAGCAATACTGGCTAGCATCGAATCAGCGTTGAAAAAATGCCACGCGTGATCTGATTAAAACATAACTGTTGGTCTGTCAGTGATCCTCTCGTTCTTAAGATTTAGTAGTTACATACTGTTGGTTAACTGACTAAAAATCGTTTTCAATAATGTAGATGTATTTACTCCTCATCACCTACCAGCGTGTGGAAATCCTCACTGATCTTCATCTGATCATTCTCTCTCACACATCATTCCTCCACGCCTATGCGTGCTTTCTGCATAAGTGTTAGATTTTGAAAATGTAAAACCTAAATTTAAAACTTGCTGTCAACTACTATTATTATGTAACAGAATAAAGTTCAGTGATGTGATAAGTAAATGACTAACAGCTGAAGAAGGTTTATTTCAATTTCCTAGAGTCTTTTTTTAAAATGAAGAATATTGTAAAATACTGTAGAACTTACTTGATTGACAGCATTGTCTACAACCTGTTTGAGTTTATCAGCTGGAAGTTGGTCTAAATTTGAGATATTCAATTCAAGTTTTTCTCTTAAACCTTCTATGACTAAACGTTGCTTTTCTAACATTGTTTGAGTAGGAGGTTCACTTTGTTCACCAGTCTGCAAGAAAGGTAACACAGAGATTGACAGTTCAAAGCATGTCCACTCACCATATATAAGAAACAATATTTATTTTGAAAAGTGAATATTGAATTAATAACTAATTCAAAAATGCTAACACATAATATAATAATTCTGATATTAAGGCTATATAAATCAACCCAAAACGATCACTTTTCATAGTTTCTTATCAAACGGTTTTATACGCATAATGTTAACTGCCAACAAAGGTCAGAGTTTATTGTCGGTCAACAAATAAAAATAACTCAATGTGTATGAGAAATAGTGATGTATGAAAAAATAATGAATAATCTTACGTAATCAAGAAAGCGTAAACAACTAATTAATTTGGACATAGTTGATGGGACACAAGAATACAAGGAATTGAAAGTAATGATAAAAATTGACATTTTTATTGACTTACGTGTTCTTAACTCACATCACATACAAATTCTGATTTCATATGAGGACACTAGAATACACACACACAGTGTAAAGGAGACTGAATACTTTTTTTCTGTCCTGGTCATGTGATTGAGAATAATATGTACAAAGTCGTACACTGAAAGTTCTAAATGTCTAAGTCCATACACAGTTAGTATTAAAAACGGTTGAGAAAAAAATTAAGGAGTTTAGCTGCAAAATGAATTAATGGATATGATAGGTTTATTTGTAACAACTGCTAAGCACTTCACCACATAAAAGGTTTACATATTCTGGAAAATCCGTAAATTATCATTATCTGTTGGCCTTACAAACGTATTACTTTTCTACTTTATAAAGAAGTTTCATTGAATCTGAGAATGCTAGTAAGAACAGTTACTACTTTAGCTGCTGAAAAAATTTTCTACTCTAGAAAAATTGAATAAAAATAGTGTTCGTACCTCGAACATCCACAGGAAGGTGGTCCTTATTCAAAGAATTTTCCACAGACATTTGGCAAATAAGACAAAAGAAGGAGTGTATTCCGTTCGAAAAGTGGGATAAATAAGAAAAATTTAAATGTTTGGTCAGTTTATATGGGATATGTGGGAAAGTAGTTCGGTGAAAAGATGGGCTAAATAGAAAACACGGGAAAAGTGGGATATTATGTTGTATTTTTCCGATGTCTCACGCGCTTGAAATGGTTCACATATCCCATGTTTCCCGTGTGCTTTCTCCGACTCTGATAGTATCACTGAAATACTTATGCCTTAGGCTCATTTCAATGACGGTAGAGAAATAATTTGGATTTCTATTCCTACTTCAATGAAAACCTTACCACTGTTAGAAAATAATGATTTATCTAATATTCTTTTATTCACTAGATGAATACCTTTTTGATATTCGCCTTAGAAAAACAGGTGAACTATACACACTGTTTACTTTCTCAAGATGAGATATTGTGCGGGTCAAAACAAAAATATCCCTACATTACGAAAATTTTTATTCCTAATCTACTTTGCATCCATGTTTGAGTCTTTTCAAACATTATTGCTGGGATGGAGTCAAGTTTTGTCAGTATTACTAAAATAAAGGCGTATTATTCAACAAAATCATCATCAACAACTACACACTGATTGTCGGAATGAAGGATTCAGTTCGCATTGATGGTAACACCAATGGGAAATGACATTGTTCGTGGTCTGGATAAACGTATTCGCAAGCTACAGGGTAAAGACAACCAGACACGAATTTTTCACAGGATAAGGACAAAAGGGAAGATGAGTTTATTGATAAGTCTTCGTACAAGAGGACCATAAGTCATATCAACATATGTGTAAAACTTGGGCACTGTGGTAGCATGTAACTCAATATTAGTTTGTTTATTAGATCATTTCATAATTGATATGATTATGAACAATAAATTTTGTTCAAAACGTCATCCAGTAAATAATACTGTTTCATTGTGCGATACATCTAATAAACAAACTAATATGGAATTAAAGTAGGGAAGAGTTTCAGACCTAAATGGCGTTGGCAGTTGTCAACTTAAATGGAAGTGGTTCATACTTATACAGAGTAGAAAAAAAGTATAAAAATACAGAAATCACTTCCAAATATGCGAATCGAAACGTAAATCTGGATGTGTTACTACAAAAGCCGTCACTGAAGTGCGACTTCATTTGTTTCTTCTGTTATATTGAGTAAAATTGAAATAAATAAGCAAGAAATTATGTAGACGAATACAGAAATTCCATTCCTAAAGGTCGTCACAGGGGATTTATAAAATGCATTATCATCAAGTTAATGGGCCAGGTGGTTGCTGCTTTGAACTCTGTTGTGACTCAGGTTATCACTTCAATTTCAGCCATCATCCATTACGTTAATAATAGTCTGCTAATCCAAGGCTACTAGTGATAGTATTTCCATCAGCTTCATTAATTATCAAATCTACATTACATTATGATAACCTAATATTTTACCTCTGTTATGGAACAGTATGAATCTATATATACATGTTGTAGACAACTGGACAAAATGTTGGCATCTTGCCGACGAACATCTATTAGTCTTCTAGCACATATTTACGTATTGTCTACCTTGACACATTGTATTAGCTGGGAGGTAGGAACAAGTGGACAGAAAGTGAAAGTTGGAGAGACTAAAACGTACTACTAATCCAAAATATGTTCAGCTTTTACTATGAGTTTTGTCACTGTTTGGACAGGTCATTTAGTTGGATTTCGCGAGATAACTGACATCTAAAGCTGGAAACTGCTAGCAATATTGATCGGATTCATTAACGTATCATCTTAATCTTAACTGTGAGATAACATTTCTTTATTTGATTGCACCATCATATATATTTCATTTAGAGATACAAGATATGATAAATCGACTCAATATGCATGAAGTATGACTGGATTCTTTGTTGATAATATCTATCACAGTTTCTCTCTACCATTGTGTATGTATGCCACTTATAGTAGAGACCATAGAATGGCTCATGGACAACTAAGAGAAGCAATTCTGTCTCGCTAAAGACTGCAACTATGTCTTCAGTGGACATAAACAAGTCTTTTATATCTGAAAAAATTTTCCAAGTTGTGTAATTACAGAAATGGTATGATTATGAACAGTAAATTGTGACGGAAACTTCATCATCCAGTAAACAATAATACTGCTTTACTGTGTGGTATAATCTAATAAACAAATTGACATGGAATTATATACTTACTCAGTGCCCAAAATTTACACGTGCACCAATAACACTTAAACTATTTTAAAATTATGGTAGTTGGTTGCCTCTTTCTATCTCACGAAAGTCTCTATTCATCAGAATTAACACCTTTAATATGGAGGCGAAATCCAGTACATACATCATTTTCAAGGATTTGAAAAGTCTTTTCGGAAGACACGATGAAGAATAAGTTAAATTCATTACGTGAAACCCTACTAGGGAACGGGTGTCCACCAAGATTTCTTGACGAAAACATGCAGGAAAAGCCTCCGTCGCCGAAAATCACAACTGTTCCTAAGAAAACTGTCTTGGTGAGCCTGGGATTCAAAGGTGACATCGAAGCTGAAATTCTTAGAAACAGCTTTTCTAAATGTCTGAAGAAGACATTTCAAGCAGCCACCTTACATATTACATTCTCCAGTAGACAGCTCGTGTGGAGCAAAGTATATCGGCCGTACGCAACGTCAAGTTCGCAAACGTATTCTGGAACACCGTCCAGCTTGACTGGCTAACCAGAGGAGAAAATAAGAATACTAGCAGCTCTATCCTCGAACACCTTGTCAACTCTGGACATCGAGCATCTCCTCAGTATCGTAGAAAACGAATTCGAATACGCCGTCTGTACATAGCTGAATCACTAGCTATTAGGGATCTGAAACCGAACCTCTGCATTGGAAAGCACCACATACATTCACTCGCCCTACCATGGCCAGAGTAACGTTCTTACTATAATTTTGATTCCTTTTATTATGTAAGTTTACTATTATTATTTATTATTTTCATCATCCTTATTTTATTATCACTCTACTGTTGTTTATTAATAACACTGAGTTTTCATACAGATTTTAAAAAAATTTATCGTCTTTCCACTAGTTCCTGTCCATTCTACATAAGCATATTGATTAGTCATTTTCTCACATTCATGCCAACTTCTGCCTCTTTTCTAATTTCCAATTAGTCACCCCATCTAGGTTACACCTTATATTATGTAATATGTTTTAGAGGACAAATTTTACTAGTATCTGATTGGTTTTATGATTTCTTTGTTAAATATAATTACGAGTGAACAGCTTATGAAAATAAATGGTTGAAAAGAAGATTTCTTCTCTGTTTATGTCTTTTTTTATGACTTAATATGAAGTATATAATACGAACTTTATGTGATTCGAGAATGCAACGAAAATATCTTATGCACTTTTTCTGTACCTCATGTGTCACACTGACTTGAAAGTTCATTCTACTACAACTACTAATACTCAAGTATGTTTTTGCAGTCTATAGAAATAAAATACGATTTATTACATTGATCGATAAGGGTCTGATTATCACTTTTACATGAATACATTTCCCTTGTATTATGATTAGTAATCATTTTATTCAAATCTTCATTTTATAAATAGACCTCCGTCTAATATCGATTAGTTTTTTTTACGTAAATCAGTTGAAAAAGCTAATGAATAAGCAATAAGTAACCAAAATTAGAACAAGCAGACGATAACGTAGGCGACAAACGCGTAGGCGGTGTGAGAAATACTACTTCTCTGTTTATTTAATGAAAATCAATCACATTTCCTTAGGTCAATAAAATGTAATGAACCAATGAAATGCTGGTTTGCTTATCAATGGATTTTCGCATGAATGGAAAGACAGAAAAGGGAAATAAATTATGAGCATGAAATTATCTTATTGAGAATTTCGGGACGAATTATATACATAATGACGCACTTGTTGAATAGTTTCGAATCGGAGTAGAGTGACCTAAAAATAAGCATACTCTTCTCAAACCAGTTACCTTGATAACCAAACTAAATCCCATCAGATGGTAGCAGTTTATTAGCCGGCGGACCCTGTTAAGACATTGTCAAGTTTGGTTATTCATTAAGATACGGTTTATAAATTAACTCCTATAGAGAAACAATTTACATACTCGTTTACCACCGGAATATAATTTTAGCGGCAGTCATATAGAAATGATACCATGTAAATTGTATGCATGATAACTTGTAATACTGAATTGTGCACAGTTTAAAGACATTCAAGATAATTATTACCTCATATGCAAATCTTTCAAGGTCGTCTAGATGTCTTCTCAACTGCTCAATCAGTTTTTGTGGTCGTCCGCTTAAATTCGTACTGCATGCTTTTGATTCTGAGGATAGCTAAATAAAAGAAAATAATCACTTGATAAATTGGGGAAAAAGCGTCAGTATAACTGACACTTATAACATTTAGAATAACTTGAAGATTTAAGTAGATATTCAGCTACACAAAATAATTCAAAATAGTTTTCATTACACTGGTTGGCTTGAATTATATAGGAAGAATTAAACTGCCTGGTTGAGGTCCTAAAGATACTGAGACTTAGTGGTTATAGTGTGTTAGTCAAACGGCTCAAAATCCCTCACATTAGAACACGTGTATTCTCCCCAGGTCATCTTCTAGTTCCTGAAAATTCCAAGTAATCTCAATTTGATTATTCTTTTTCATACATCTGTTCTCTACTTTTTTCTGCTTTGCTGAAATGTCACAACTTGAAATGCTGCAATATTGCGGTAAGGTTTACATTAATAAGTTAGTCAGTCAACCCTTCAATATGTATCGTTAAAGAAATGAAACTGGAAAATCCATTCATATGAAGGCATAGATTTTGCCAGTAGCGTACATGCATTTACCCAATGACAGGTCAGCCCACCCAGTGACTATATGGTCTCTGTACAGATATTTCATTATTCAGACACAACATACGTATTCAGTTACCTATATTTTCCAGCTTCTTTTAATTAATCAGACAGTACACTTGTCCTAAAAGCTATATTGAAACCGACCATTCAAATAACAATTATATCACTGTTATTGATTGAAGTTACGATGCGAAGTCATAAAATGCATAGTGAATCAAGTTCATTCTTAAGATATGTCAGTAACAGTAATATTCAGAATTATGCACAGATTTGTGTCCTATACTGGTCACAGCAGTTAGTGTAAGATTCGAAGTCAAGCTATTTGCCTACAGCTATCGAATTTTAAACATACAAAGGACTGTTGAAAACAGTTATTCTTTTGAAATTCTTACAAGAATGATTATTTTATCCAAGTAAGAATCCATTTGATTTGGATTCTTAATGTATTTTCGACTTTGATACAGTTTTCACAACCAATTCCAAATGAACTACTGGCATAATATAATTCTTCACAAAATAATCTTAATTACAGAAGAACTTCAATAATGCTCCAAAGCGAATCTGATCTCCTGATGTTGCTTTGTGAATACACTAATCCTTCATAGATGGGTCAAAATATACAGGATAATATTTCCAGTTCATAGCAAGTTTAGGTTGTATCACAGTCTGCTCTTCAAAGTTATCAGTGAATGTAATTCACCGTAATCTGCTTGAATGTTTCACATGCTTCACCAAATTCACAAAATAACTGAAAATATTTAATTTTATGTAAAATCAGCTTAATAATACTGAAATACCAGCAATATCTAATTTGGTTAGCATCATTTATATCTGCCGTAAGAAAACAATAATAAATTTAGTGCCAAAATCCCTATTGTCAGATGAAAGAGGCGTTTAGAGATGAGTTACTCTTTTCAGTGATATCATTCTCAAACTGTGCAATCACCCATGTATATATATAAATAATCGTAGCAATAAAAGGAATCTTCCAAAAGATGTATCATTAAAATCGTAATTTTTAATAAAAATTACCCAATACAGAAAACGCTATTCGGATAGAGACCAAAATAAAGTTAAATAATTAAGTTCAGTGAAAGGATTGAGTATAAATCGGCTGAAGTTCGAAGGAGGGTCAAGTTAAGCGATGTGTCATGAGGAGTAGAAATGTATTAATGAGAAGGGAAGAAAATTTTAAAAAATGCAAAAAAAAATCAAAATATTAGAATTAACAAAAAAATACGTAACAAGTGTTGAAACAAATTAGGTTCATTGTATATTCAGTGACTGAACAAACTTTCTCTGCATGCACAGTTCAGGATTCAGCATGTGGATTGTTATGAAAATGTACTATATATGTGCAGTTGTACAACTTGAGAATGATGTCAATGAAAAGAGTAACTTTTAGCTGAAGGCCTATTTTGACAATAAATTTAACAAAATCCACTCCCCCCCCCCCCCGATATTTTATATTTCATTAAGACTGAGTAAGATTTTTGAAAGTGCAAACGAAATATATAGTTTCGTCATTTTATACTCTAGTCTGCAAAACAGAGCAGATTTCACAACTATAAGAAAAATAACAACATAAAGTGTTGCTGAACTGTAAAATATATTAGGTTGTTTTAACTAACCAGATCGTTTTTCTTATGGGGGCTTAGAAAAGATGCAATTATCATTACAATAATGCAAAACAGAAACGATACACACATTCATGAACCTTACAGTAAGATACATCACTGGTATGAAATTCGATAATATCAACTAGGTCATTACAGTCTCGACAGATGATGCTTGACTTCAATTGAGGATGTGTTGACTTCATTTTTAGTATTCAGATAAATGGATTAAAATATTCTATTCAGAATATGGAAGATACATCGTTCACTATCGTTGTAGCGGACAACAGTCAATTGTGTACTCTTAGAAGGCATGTTTTACCCTTAAAATACGATAGTGGAGATAAGAAGAGTGGTTAGCTTACATCCTAAAAGGTTTATTCATAGTACCAACAACAGTCTCCCAGTAAAATTAGATCTTTTACTGTCACTGAACAGAGGTTGTTCAATATATCCATATTGCTAGGGAAGAAAAATAATCATACTTTAAACCCTTGTTTCAAACTGTTATCTTGAAGTTAGTTCATTAATGTATGCAACAACTATCCACGAAAACTTTCCCATGAGACGATGTTGTTGGTAAGCAACTAGAAAATGAAGCGAAAGTTGTGAATTAACCTAATTTATTTATTCAGCCTGTAGTAAACCTGAACATTAAAAATCCCGAGCTAAAGATATGTTAAAGGAAAAAATGTTGAAATTACCGAAACACAGTTAGCATAACAGTTTCTAACCTTATTACAGTGTTCTGCCAGCAATTGTAGGTCAGGTATTCCTCTAGAAGCATATTCTTCTAAAGATTTCAGCATTGGCTCTCTACTTTCAGCTTCAGCATTTAGTATTTGGCCTAAGCGGAATTGCACCTAGAGTATAAAAATTTAAGTAAAATTGCATTCGAATAAGTAAATGTTTTAGTTTATAAATGGTAAGTGTCGAACTGTATTTTTAGAGCTCTGCTGTCAACTTACTGCATGAATTTCTTTCTTGTATAGGTTATTTAAAACTTCTGCAGTCAAAGTCTTTCATATTAATGTACAGATTGATTATTTCTCTCACCTTAAGTACTACCACTAGTGATAATTTTAGATATTTACCAGAAATATAGACAGATATTAGCATAAACTTCTAACCACTTCAATAAGGTGATTTACTTATGTTACACCTTCACAATAATAACAATTAGTTTATTGGTAAACTTAATTAAATAATGAACTAAGTGTAAAAACAGGCTTCAATTCCAACCCCTTGTTTACCAGTTATTAGGCTTCTATAAATTGATAAACTTAAAGTAAAAAGGGGCAAGGTATGATATTTCAATTCGTAGAAGTAGATTTTCATAATCTGTCTTCTGTTCAGTGTGAATTTAAAATGTGACAAGTTAAGCCAACGGTCTATTTTTACATATCGTGCCTTATCCCATTCATTATGCTTTAAATTTTATTATTATTTTATTAAAGAGATGTAGTGCAGTTTCCAGTGTTTTAGGACTTTGTTTTAACGTGTATTCATTTGGGCTGGCTCCAACTCCATTTCTGCGCTTTCGCATTATACTGACAACGCACACATCCTTTGAGGTTTGTAATAAGGCCATATTCGTTAGATATGTTCTAAATCTTTTTCCCCTGGGTAGTCTCGACCTTTTATTTCACTAAAATATACTGCTAATGAGAACACATTTCCAAATAGCTAAATCTTTTTAATTTGTGTTTTGTGTTCCTCATTTCAAATACAGCAAGTAGGGACTTGAAACTTCTGTAAATGATAAATACTCTAAGCTAATGTATCCTCGTTAATACTCGAAATACATTAACATTCTCAGTTTCTCTTTACTCTATAAGCAGTCAGATAATTTTGTTTCCATATACAGGAGCTAACATTCTGTCGGGAGGGCATAAATACTGGAACAGCCTTCACACTTAGAGGCAATGAGTCCTATACTTGATTGAGGTAATAATTTAAAACCTAGCCTAGTTTACTAGAACGAGGAGAAGAAGGAAGATTGGGCGTGTGTTTGCAACCGTACCCCGTGAAAAACAACCCTATCACTGCTAGAAACTCAAGGCATAGTAGAAATAAACTTATTCTTATCTGAAATCGGGAACAGTCCTCAGTTTGAGAACGACTGACGCCCACGAGTGAGAACCTTCAGGAAGCCAGTCGATAGATATGTCTCCTTTTGATGAGAACAAAAGTGGACATAGCCACATGGGATTGCCGCACTATTTTAGATGGGTTAGCTTGTCAAACCTGCAAAAGGCGACTTAAGGCTGTATGTGTAATAACTGTCACAGAATCATGCTAAATAACCCTAGAGACTCTCTGAATACAAAACTCTACCCTCAACAGGCTGGATTTAAAATGATCAAGTCACATGTGAACCAAATCGCAACGCTACGAATCACTGTCGAACGGAGTCTAGAGTGGCAGTCAAGTCTGCACTCTGAAAAGGCTTTCGATAGTGTCTATGACGAAGTAATTTGGAAACTGATTCAACACTATGGAGTACAGTGCTGCAAAAATTCATTTACCTCGTTCAAAAGTTATATTATAGCACCACATGTCAACTGACTCATTACGGAAAACTCGCTCAAGACTTTGAAGTGAAGACCTAAGTAAGACAAGACTGTCTTCCTAACTGTGATGAACTGGATCATACAACAGACTCCTTATAAGGAGTGCCAGTCGGTGACCGCCTCATTTGCGACAATTATTGTTTACAAAACAACAACAGATGATGCGAATACTAGGTAGGAATATTTAAATCGCTAGTAATAACACTAAGGGTTCGATGTAATAACCAATGATAGTAGTAAATAAAAAGTAAACTTCACTTTAACCCATTACCTGAGCAATGTGGGATGTAAGTGCCATCAAAGAATTGTTCAGCTGCTCATTTTCGAGCATAAGACGAGTCAATTCCGAATCTTGTTCCAAGTTACTTTCAATCCCTGACTCCTCGAAAGCGTGATGACCAGGTTCAGGGCTTGCATTTGCTCCCAGTGGGGCCCACCTCTCTTTAGGACGGACTGTTTCTTCCACAAAAAGAGATGTGTCCTCTTCGTAGCAATTATAAAGATTTTCTGCTGTTTCAAAACTCATTTCACACGAGCAGAACACGCAGTTATTGAAAACCAAACCAACAAGCCCGCTTTTTGGTTATGCAATAAAGTACTAAATGTGACAGATTAAAACGAAAAGACTTTACCAATCGAATTAAGTTGACCGTGTGTGTAATGTCTTGTCGCTATACTCAAGAATATTTAACTCCTGTTATGCATCCAGTTTAATTCTCGAACTACAGTCTAGAAAAGAGGGCTAAATTTGTTCGTTGTGCCTTCCTAGATTATACATCTGCTTTTAACTCGGTCCCCTGGGAAATCTTATTAAATAAACTTGCTGCAAGTCAAACAGAATGTTGGGCTGTTAACTGGTCACATTCTTATTTCTCAGAAAGAAAGCAGTACACCATGTATAAAAGGAAGTCTCCCACTTCATTGCCTACTGAAGCTGGTGTCCCTCAAGGCGCTGTTCAATATCCAATATCCTGATTACGAGCTAGTATAAACCAGTGATTTCTTTGAGCTCGCTTCTTGATTGTAAGGTAGAGGTTCCAGATCTTCGGTGAACTTATGCGTAGTAAATCCCGCCACTCGACTGCTTTAGCTCTGGTAGACTCCAAGAGGAGTGGTGCGAGGATTGGTCAAGATTGTGGTTTGTAGTGTGCAGTATGTTAGGACTCAGCTGCTGCCGTGAATGGAGTTTGACGTAACACCCGTTGGTCATTCGGTATAGTCATAAAAGCAGAATAGTAATAATAATAATAGTAGGTTGTAGTGTAGATAATATAGGTTGAGATAAGTGAAATAATAAAGGTGAAATAATAAAGAAAGAAAGAAAAGATAGAGTAGTCGGTACAGTGGGAGAAGACAGGACGGGTCGTGGAGATTTAGCTTGTATGCTTATCCATTGACAATGTGGTTTCAAATTTTAAGAGGGTAAGCCATTGAGACACAAACCATGCATTTCTGCATGATTGTCCAGCTTCCGCTTAAAAGTCTCCACAGATGGAGCTGTAGTTACGGCCGCCAGTAAAGCGTTCCAGAGACGGCAAACTCGAAGCGAGAAGAAATGTGAACGCACTCGAGTCCTTGGTCTCTGGTGTGCTATCCTTAGCGGGTTACCTCGTGGAAGCCTATAATCACTTAATGGCAGGATGCTTTTATTAGGGTGGGCCTGGTCATTTAAGATCTTATAGACGGTGATGAGGTCTCCCCTGTGACTACGGTAACTGAGTGTGAAAAGACTTAATTTCTTCAGTCTCTCCTCATATGATTTGTTGCGGAGGCCGATCACCCATTTTGTCGCTCGTCTCTGGACACTTTCTAGCATGTTAGCATCCCTTTTGAGTAGCGGAGGAGCAATGATATTATGCACCTCAAGGAGTGGCCTCACGTATGTCGTATACAACGTTAAGAATAGTTCAGGAGTAAGAGCTCCCAGCTGCCTATGCATAAAGTGTAAAGTGGCGTAAGCTTTGGCGACGTCCCTCGTGTAATTTACACTGGTGTCTAGCTTTTCTGTTAAAATAAGGCCTAGATCGCGTTCTGATGGCACACAACTCAAGTTCTGGCCACCAAGGGTGTAATTTGCACTCTGTGACCTGCCGGAATGAAGTTGCACTACTTTGCACTTCTTTAGGTTGAAAGGCATTCCGTTAGCCAGAGCCCAGTCTCCCAGAGTTTGCAGGTCAGCCTGCAATCTGTCGGAGTCTTCCGATGAGTTTATTGCTCTCCAAATCTTTACGTCATCAGCGTAAAGAAGCTCAGAGCAGTTCAGTTGACAGGGCAGGTCGTTGATAAAAACCAAAAACATCAACGGCCTTAAGATAGAGCCCTGAGGAACCCCTGATGCCGAGGTGTACCAGGATGATCGGATGCGGCTGACTTCGGTGCTGTCCTTTCTCCTTTTCTTTTTTCTTTCTTCTTACATGATTTGCCTCACTCTGATGAAATAGACTTTGTGAAGTACGCTGATGATCCAACAATTTCAATGGCTGTTAACTCCCAGCTAGATTGTACCAAAATAAATAGCTTTCTGTCGGGAGTCAGTAAATGGTCTGAGTCTAACGGTCTTAGACTGAATCCTTCTAAATACCAAACTGTTAATTTCAGCTTAAGATGTAAAAGACAGTTAAAAGAAGCCGTCGACTCTCATGACAGTTGTAAGATTGACGACAATGATATAGGAATTAAATCAGAAATTAAGTATCTTGGACCTATTCTCTCTTCTGATCTCTCCTGGTCTTCCCATGTCTTAGCGATCTACAGTAAAATATTCCACCTGACATTATTCATTAAGGAGTTAAGGCACTCGGGTATAACTCAACCCCTCCTCTTACAGTTCATAAATTCTTGCATCCTACCTATTCTTCTTAATTGTTCACCCTTATTCTTTCCTGGTTTGCTTATAAAGGACTGTCACAATTCGTAGAATGCTGAAGACGGTCAGTAGGATGAGTGGTGTCCCAGTGGACCACATAGTTAACGTCGTTGTCGATAGGCAATTGACCTCGTGCAATACATTTGCTGGAGGGATTTTGTCTAAATTGGAGCATCCACTTCACCCTCAGCTTTTACCTTGCATCTCCTCAGGTAGAAAAATAAGTAACTTCAGAAAACTGTATGCTCGCACGTCTAAGTATAAAAATTCTATGATACCATACTTGGCACGTATTTTATGTGATGAAAATAATGTCAGGCAAGAATTAACTAACCTTTTTACATCCAGTAAATAAACAATTTCCCCCATCCATCCTTATATACCTCCAAGTTTTACCTTTATTATTTCTATTATATTTATGGTCCTGTTGCTCCTTTGTTTTACTTTCATAATTGCAAACACCAAATTATCTCTATGACTGCTGTAATCTTTGTTTTTCTCCTCCCCATATCATCGAAAGAGAACATTATATTCAACATTTTTAAACATGCTAGGATTTCTATACTGCATCGACAATACTGTGTGAAACAAGCCCACGGCAGTTTTCACTTGTATTATTATTATTACCTTAGCTGCTATCATTATTATTATTACCATTTTATATGCTGCATGTTTTTGATATTACCCCTATTGTAAATGTTGAAAATTTTCTGTGTGACTAATTTTATTCATAATTTGAGGAAATTAGATGCAATATTGTGATTACTGCTGAAAATTCCATTCTGTATCACAAGCACTGTTTTTAGGATAAAGTAAATCATTATTATTATTACCCTTTTGTGAAACGCAGTTAAAACTGTGTTGTAGATTCAAATTATTTATTCATGATCGAAGATCCTTTCATATTTTACTTAACTCTGGAGTGTGAGCATACCACTTCTTCCGAGAGTCACTTCCTTTAGATTTTAACTCTACCGCCAATTCTTCTGAGATTCGCCGGCCCAGTAGGAAGGAGAAAAAGAGACGCCTTAGGTCCATAGGCACTAACTTAGGGTTCAATTAGATCTCCTGTCTGTCTGTGTTATGATTAGAAGAACAGATTCAACCAGTTGAATTATTATTCGTTTGGTTAATTGTTCATTCCAAATATCATGTGTGTGCTCCCTGGCTGAATTCTCCGGTTTGTATGCAATATCTCTCAAGTAAGTTACTTTTGCGTGGATGCAGATTGTGTGTCTGCAAATTGCTATAGGTGG